GCTACAGTTCGAATAAGATTAAGAGTAGTTGTAAAGGCCACTGGACTAAAGGTGCCTTATGACACTCCATGTGGCTCATTGCGTCTTCATATCCCAGTTGGTTCAGAAAATAGATGAGATACAATTGTTTGGGGTAAAATTAATCGTTCTAAAATCGATAACACAAATTCAGTTTGAATAATATTGTCACAAAACAACATGGTTATCTGTTTAATTATATATTTGTTGTTTGCCTTGACTTTGTTCTTATACTGACTTCGTGTTCATTATATTTATGCTTCGACAGTCTTTCAATTCCAGTTGTTGCGAGTTTTTTCAGTAAAGACCGCTATCCGGGACTTTACTTCTTCGCTGCTATTATATAAGTAAAAATAAACATGCATTATACGGTGGTAAAATTATTGCACACGTCTGTCAAACCTTCAAAGGCTAATATCTTCGCTTGCAAAAGAGTAATTTGAATGAAATTTTCAAATTATTCATTTAACATCATCTACTTTCCAACTATTATAGCAAGAATGGCTAGCTCTTTATCTAAATCTTACATTATGTATCTTTAAATAATATTTGTGTTTAGGTATTCTCATGAACACCCCATACCACTTTGACCGGGAGCCACGGTGTCTCAGTGAGTAGGACGTCGGCTAGCTGGCCTGGAGGTCACGAGATAGATCATCGGAATTTTTCGGCGTGGTTCCCCCTTGTGAGTAGTGTAGGCTAGAGGGACTGGCAAGAGACAACGTATATTATAGTTATTTGAATGGGACGAAAAAAAGAGGTCCCGTGTACACATTAGCGTGCGCGTAAAAGTAGATCGTAGCGTCCCCCATAGCAGTATTAGCACACTGCAAGGCGGATATCATGGGCGTATGTCCGTATTCATTAGTCCAACATATAGGAGCAGAACAGTTGGATGTTAAACCCCATATCATTTCATTTTACCACTTTGATCATATGTAATAGGGTGTCTCCTATTGAAGCTAAAAGCTTTGTATTTTGACGGGTTTCGATTCCCCGGTTGTACGTGACAAGGAGTAGGGTCGCCTGTCCAACCTCGTGGGTTTTCTCCGGGTCCTCCGGTTTCCTCCCACTGCTAAAGACCCCTATGCGCAAGCGAAGTATTGAAATAAAAATTAAACCATATGTTAGTCCCGAAATGTCCTAGTTTGTGTCGAGTGGACGTTAAACCCCATCTCTCTCTCTCTATCTCTCTCTCTCTTTGTATTTTGACATTTAGGTTTTTTAATTGAAACCTTGGACATTGTATTGCTGTACTGTCCGTCTGGTTTACAATTCACCTGCGTTGTCTACTAGTTGTACTAGTGTAACAATTGGCATACGGGCAGAAAATTAAAAAGAAGTGAAAGCAGGATTATTTATTTATTTAGAATGGAAAACTTTTTTTCTCTCTTCAGATGAACCTGTATAACAGAATTGATTTCCTTTATTTTGTTAATGTAGAATGGTAACGAACTGCTCTTTTCATTTTCTTTGTTTTATTTGTTTCGTTTGAATTTGATTTATCTGTTTAGTTTTTGATTGTTTAATTTTTGTTAATGAAGTTGATTCTTTTAAACTTCGTTTTTATTTTTGAACTCTACTTGGTGTAGGTGTTCATCAGGTAATACCTCGACTGAGTTCAATATTGAGATTAGCCGGTTGATTTGTTGGATATAAACCTTTGAATAATAGCGCCTAACAGGCAGCTGTGTTTTATTATGTTCTCCTGATTTTGATTGTTTCTGTGTGTTTGAAGTATATGTTTGTGATATGCGCTTAGAAACACTTCACGTGTAATGAAGCGCTATATAAATCGAACAATAATAATTATATTTGCCTTAGTATTGGCGGCGGTTATGTTAGCCTCTACAGATGCCTGGAGAGTATCTTGGAACAGATTTATTCAAAACTAGCAGGATACCCGGCTTCGCTCGGAGGTCATAACTCCGAAACCGGAAGTGGTAGACTAACGCAACCTGGCCTATGTTACTCCCCGGTCCGAGCTACCCCTATACCCCAAATTTTAGACTCGGGACAGACCTAGTGTAGCCGCCAACCCCGAACAGACCAGCTTCGCTCGGGGGTCATAACTCCGAAACCGGAAGTTGTAAACTAACGCCACTTGGCCTATGTTACTCCCCGGTCCGAGCTACCAACATACCCCAAATTTCAGACTCGGGGCAGACCTAGTGTAGCCGCCAACCCCAAAAACAGACAGACTTCGCTCGGGGGTCATAACTCCAAAACCGGAAGTGGTAGACTAACGCCACCTGGCCTTTGTTACTCCCTGGTCCGAGCTATCCCTATACCCCAAATTTCAGACTCGGGGCAGACCTAGTGTAGCCGCCAACCCCGAACAGACCGGCTTCGCTCGGAGGTCATCACTCCGAAACCGGAAGTGGTAGACTAACGCCACCTGGCCTATGTTACTCCCCGGTCCGAGCTACCCCTATACCCCAAATTTCAGACTCGGGGCAGATGTAGCCGCCAACCCCGAACAGACAGACTTCGCTCGGGGGTCATAACTCCGAAACCGGAAGTGGTAGACTAACGTCACCTGGTCTATGTTACTCCCCGGTCCGAGCTACCCCTATACACAAAATTTCAGACTCGGGGCAGACCTAGTGTAGCCGCCAACCCCGAACAGACCGGCTTCGCTCGGGGGTCATAACTCCGAAACCGGAAATGGTAGACTAACGACATCTGGCCTATGTTACTCCCCGGTCCGAGCTACCCCTATACATACCCCAAATTTCAGAGTCGGGGCAGACCTAGTGTAGCCGCCCACCCCGAACAGACAGACTTCGCTCGGGGGTCATAACTCTGAAACCGGAAGTGGTAGACTAACGCCACCTGGCCTATGTTACTCCCCGGTCCGAGCTACCCCTATACCCCAAATTTCAGACTCGGGGCAGATGTAGCCGCCAACCCCGATCAGACAGACTACGCTCGGGGGTCATAACTCCGAAACCGGAATCGGTAGACTAACGCCACCTGGCCTATGCTATATACTCCCCGGTCCGAGCTACCCCTATACCCCAAATTTCAGACTCGGGGCAGACCTAGTGTAGCCGCCAACCCCGAACAGACCGGCTTCGCTCGGGGGTCATCACTCCGAAACCGGAAGTGGTAGACTAACGCCACCTAGCCTATGTTACTCCCCGGTCCGAGCTAACCCTATACCCCAAATTTCAGACTCGGGGCAGACCTAGTGTAGCCGCCAACCCCGAACAGACAGACAGACAGACAGACAGACAAACGACAGTCACAAATATATATATAGATTATGCAAATGGAATCGGCAAACGAAACTTTGACGAAATTGATTTTACAAATACGGAGTAAAGAGACTTTAATATCGCCACTTCTGTATTTTAAACTGTATGCATGACCTTCGATCTTATTAAATATAATTACAAGACAAATCTGAAATATGATTACATGATAGATATTACAATATAATTACAACAAAAGATAAATATTTAATATAATTACAACAAAAGATCATTAAATACAATTACAACATATTCATGCATTAAATATAATAAATACGAATCATTGTATACTATTTGATGGTAGGCCTACTGTATGACTAATATAATTAATATTCATTGCTCATATATATAATTGTATTGTACAACCTACTAATATATCAATTATATGATTAATATATGCTTGATTATCAAATAAATGAATCTGTTCGTGCATAAACGGTTGAACAGAGAGAGAGAGAGAGAGAGAGAGAGAGACTCTTGGTTGTGATTTACTCTGGTGATCAAACCTGTTGATAGGGATGGTAATGCCAGTGGGGCTGAAATGGAAAGATCTCTTTTCACAAAGAGAGAGAGAGAGAGAGAGAGAGAGAGGGGGGGGGGGGGTAACGTCCACTCGACACAAACTAAAGATCATTTCGGGAATAACATGTGGTTCAATTTTTTAAATCAATAATTCACTTGCGCGTGGGGGTCTTTAGAAGTGGGGGGGGGGGGGGGCGGAGGACCCTGAGAAACCCCACGAGGTTGGACAAGCGACCCTATGTCACGTACATCCGAGGTATCGAAACAATTCGCCCTCCGCCCTGCACGTACCACTGACAAGGGGAAACCATTCGACACAAACTGTTTTAAAGATACCTTCCCAGAAAAGTATTTATCGGGTGGTTATTTCCAATAAAAGTATGGCAATTTTGGTATATATGGAAAGTAGAGAGATCCAATCTTACTAGAAAAATACTGGATTCCCTGAAAAACACTTATGGAGCGCATACAGGACAAAAATGTAAGGGTTTCCCTAATCGACAGACCGACGCTTAGGAGTGTCCGCACGCGTGACGTTCAGTCAAAGGTTGCATGCGGAGATTGAGCGCTTGATGTACATGTTGATAAACTTTATGAAGAGGTTATAGAAATACAACACTTTCTGATATAAAAATCACGGACGCGGGCAGTGGATAATCCGAGAATTTACTTAGGCTTCGATATTTGTAATAAATAGTCAGCGATTAAATATAATATCGTCTTGTGTATGCATTGAATTCTCCTCTGATTTCGCACCCGTTGCTAGATATATACCGAGAGAGGTAAGTCACTGACACAAACATGACCTCTTTTCCTGGATAAATTTTTACACCCAGGGTATTGCTTGACAATTGTTTTGAGAAGGATTTGAAGCAAAATTATGATAAATTAATTAGTTGGAATATGTTTTTAGTCCCAAATATATCATCAAATCACCTAGTTTGTACCCGGGAATGTATCTTTAAAATATTCAATTTACAACAGTGTTCGAGATTTTATAATCACTTTGTAAATTGCGATATGACTTCAGTGGTTAACAAAACTGTGGACGTATAATTTGTTTTAAAAAAAGAAACGAGACACGACTGATACATTACTGTTCCCCCGTACTAATTTTATCAGTGAAACCAATCATCTATTGTTTTAACAAGTGCGTGGAATCTTCAGAAGCACTTCCGCTTAGTTTATAAAGGCTGTCTCTGATTGGTCCACATCATATAAAATAGAAACATGGCGAACATTAGTTGTATTTCATCTCTTCTTCTGGTTGTTTTAGCGATTTTCCGGTCTGTTGGGGCCGACATCGTGAAGGGCTCGGTTCCACTCAATTCTGGCGTGTTTGACAGGGTAAGTGCACTGTTATAAACTGTGAAAAAGCGTTTAGTTTTTCCAAATCGGTTTATTAAATATAAGCATCCACGTGAGTGAAGGGAAATAACTCGTATATAACTTAATTTTCTTTTACTGAATAGGAAATTAGAAATAGTGAATAATGCATGTACTACTTCATCTTTCTGTCAGAGCACCGTACTAACTTACTAAGTCTCTGCCCTGTCTGTAAAAGCAGGGTGGTATATATGTATAATTTTAGGGTGGTATTATTACTGGCAGCCATGGATGTGGTGGTGGCGTGGTGCAGTGATACTGATAGTTAGAAACCAATTCCTTAGCATTTTCAGCCTGGTTTTTCCTTTTCAGTGGGGGTGGGGGGAGCCACTGAGGCTCAGTGAGTACAACGATGGCACACTAACCTGGATTTTCCGGCGTGGTTCCTCCCTCGTCCTTCTCAGTGGTGCATTACCGAGGGCCTATCTAGAGACGTTCGGAATGGATGGGACAAAAAAACGGAAGTCCTTTATACATATTGGCGTGAAAGTAAAATGACCCTTGACAGTTGGAATTGGATATAAGACTAGGTCATAGTGCAGCTGTCAGGGAAAATTTCCCTCATAGACTTATAGCACACTGTATGGCATTGGTCTGTCTTCATTAGCCCAGTCGGAACAGAAAATTAGGACGTTAAACTGTATTTCATTTCTTTAGAATGCTGGTAAAGCATGATAACTTCCCTTTACCCCTGAACTGAAAGGTTATCGAACAGAGAGAAATGGGGTTTAACGTCCACTCGACACAAACTAGGTCATTCCGGGACTAACACATGGTTCAATTTTATTTCAATAATTCGCTTGCGCGTAGGGGTCTTTAGTAGTGGGAGGAAACCGGAGGACCCGGAGAAAACCCACGAGGTTGGAGAGGCCACCCTATTCCTTGTCACATACAACCGGGAAATCGAAACCACGCCAGTTGACTCAATGACAGACCTTATGATACAGCGCGCACGTGCTAACCATTCGGCTATCCAACCCCCCGATTACTGAAACTGATCATTCAATCTTAGTTGTGCGTAATTTAATATTTTATTGTTTTTAATAACAGATAATATCGAAACATAAAGCTGTATTGGTCAAGTTTGATGAAACGTATCCGTATGGTGAAAAACAAGATGAATTTAAAAAGGTTGCGGAGTCCAGTAGTGGACAACCTGATCTTCTTATTGCAGAAGTTCAGATTGCAGGTTGGTTGATATATTCACTTTCATCTTGTCTTCTTAAAGGCTCAATACCAATCTTGTTGTAACTGAATAATATGTCCCAATGTTTATTCTAGTCAACAAATTGTACTATTTTACAATATTCCAATTCATTGATGATACAAATTTCATCTTAACACACCTAATTTAAAAAATTGAAAAAATTCAACTAAATGATTTGAAAAGCCTTACGTAAACCTTTTCAAATGTGTCTTGGATTTAAAAATATTTTCAAACCCTCTGGACAAGTAAAATAGGATGTAATGGATAATTTACACAACAGGTAGGACACATAAACATCTAATACTTAAAATAAGGCTATTATTTATTTTCTGGAGCTGTCAAGCCAGCAAGAGTGTTATTGTCCCTTTAAAAGAACATAGAAATCTTGATGTGGACCGATAATAACCTTGAAATCAAATCTGAATTCTAATTTAGTGAGAGTGATGACACTTGGTTTATTGTTTTATTACATCAATACCAGGACTAAGTTCAGTGATGAATATTTTCTTCCCATGTTAGGAAATTTGATTGCTTGATTCAATAAATGTGCAAGTAATTAATGAGTTTAATCTATTTGTTTTCGGGGTGGGGGGTGGTTGGATGGCTGAATGGTTAGCACGTGTGCGCTGCGCTGTATCATACGATCTGTACGTGACAAGGAGTAGGGTTGCCTGTCCAACCTCGTGGGTTTTCTCCGGGTCCTCCGGTTTCCTCCCACTGCTAAAGACCAAATTATTGAAATAAAATTGAACCATGTGTAAAGTCCCGAAATGACCTTGTTTGTGTCGAGTGGACGTTAAACCCCATTTCTCTCTCTCTCTATTTGTTTTCGGATTGAGGTGGGGAAACATAATCCACACTGCTGGTTTATAATCTTTAAATGGCATTTAGTAACTGGAGAGAGTAAAAACATTGGCTTGATAACGTTGAGAGAATACTATTCGAAATGTCGCCTTAGTATGTGTAAGTAATTAATGAATTTAATCAATTTTTTTATTGTCCTCTGCCTTTCGAAGAAAGTAGGGGACTATTAAAATGGGTTCGTCTGTCCGTCCGTCTATCTGTCTGTCCGTCACACTTTTTTTTTCAGATTTAGGTCAGGGAACATAATCCACACTGTTGGTTTATTGTGTACATGTATGTACTTACCATTTATCTATTGAAGAATTTCTTGGTTGAATTATATTTTATTTATAGATTATGGTGATAAGGACAACATGGATTTAGCTGAGCGATTTAACATAAAAAAAGAAAATCATCCAGTTTATAAATTATTTCTACAAAATAAAGAAACACCCATAGATTATACTGGAGATTTCAAAGACGCTGATGAAATTAAAAAATTTATTATGAAAGAATCAGGTAAGATAAATATTTTATTGGATGTTCCGAGGTTGACTATGACAGCTGTAGTTAAATTAATGACTGTTAGAATCAATACAGATGTCCACAGTTTACATTGTTTGATGTTTATACAACTGTTGAATAGTTGATAACAACAAACACAATCTATATATAGATAGAACTACTTCTCTGTTATCAGTTATGAAATGTTGTTATTAACACATTGTTCCATATATGGAAGTTAATCAGGGGTCCATTTTGCGGGTCATGACCTATAAGTAAACATGACAAAAAATGTTAAATATTTTTATCACTGAATAGAGGCATTCAAGATCTTTCCAAAAATATATACATTTGTATGATTTATTCTTAAATTGAAAGAGTTACAGGATATATTCTTAACTATATGCTTTTGCTAGTCGAAACCCCAAAACAATCCAACGCTTAAAGGGTTAAAGTAACGAAGCATGACATTTTGATTTTGTTTCCATAATTAAATATTTCAATAATCAATTTAAGTACATTTTAACAAGGATTAAGCTGTGGAATATTTGTTATCTTTCTATTAAAGGTGTTATTTTTGCTTTTATTTTAGGTCTATGGTTGGGACTTCCTTCCTGTTTAGAAAAGTTCGACAACCTAGTATCAGAATTTTATAAAAGTCCAGCAGATAAACGAAAAGGCATTTTAGCCAGAGCTGAAAAAGCTGCGGAAGGTTTAGAAGACAAAGCAGAAAAAACCTCAGCTGATACTTACGTTAAAACTATGAGTAAAATATTAGAGAAAGGAGAGGAATTTATAGATACGGAAATAAATCGCGTGGAAAAATTACGGGACGGTAAAGTGAGCGAGAAGAAAAAAGAACAGCTTGGGGAACGATTAAATATTTTAACATCATTTCAGATGCGTATGAAAGATGAATTGTAACTTGATTTTTCTTTTACTCTGCTCTTTTTTTTATCTTTTTAAAACTTTCTATTAATTAATCTAAAAGGTTACTGCCAAACTTTTCTGGACATAATCACCCAGGAAGTCACTTGAAATGTTTTCTTGTCATTCAATATCTATCACTAAAAACAGTAAACTGTCATGTCTCTAAATTCTCTTTTGAAATCCTGATAAAACCAACTTATATATTTACTTTAAATATATTATTTTTATGGGAATAGGTTTTAGAAAGTCTCTTTTTGAAATGGGGGAGGGGGGGGGCAAATGGCTTAATGTTTATCATTGAGTCAAGTGCGCTGTTTCTATACCAAGCTCGTATACAAGGAATCGGGTAGCATGTCCAACATCATGGATCTCCTTTGGGTCCTCTGGTTTCCTCCCACAGCTAAAGACCCCTTCGCCCAAGCGAATTATTGACCTAATTTGTGTCGAGTGGACGTTAAACCCTATTTCTCTCTGTCTTATTTCTAAAATAATAATTTCTGTGTTTTGATTTTTTTAAATGTATCATTCCTGATTATGTTTGATTTGAAAGAGTAATGTGTGTTGTTTATTTTATATTGTTGATTATTATGATTTAAATTGTGAATGCTTTAAAACAAGATTTGGACTAATTTGTTTTGGCGACGTTTCAAAACAAGCCATGTCTGTTGGAAGTTTATGATTTTGATATGTCCGGTGGAAGGTTACGATTTTGATGTGTCGTTTCGAAGATTATCAAGATTTTGACGCGTTGGAAGTCGTTGCGTGGTGTATGTCTGTTTTCGTGATCCCAGTTGGTGCAGAAAAGTGTGACGTAACGTTAAAATACATCTTGAAATTATTAACGTCTTGTTTTACTGTATCCATGCATGTTGTTTAAATGATGAAAAAATGAAGAGATTGAGGCTTTGATGTTTGTTATTTATTTTAATTATTCAAATAATCATGGTGTAATAGGGCAGGTTCCTGTAATTTTTGCATGTATCATAAATTTATCTAATAAACCATGGCACCATAATAATTAAAATGAAGTCAGACATGTCAAAAAAACGGCCTCTTGTTTGGCCATATGGGTCAGTCTGAGGAAACTGGACCTACCTCATAATTAATTAAAATCTATTTGTTTTTTTCTTGGGTATTCTTCAATTCACTCAAATAATTCACCCAACCCATGTATCTTTTTCGTCTAAAAGTTTAAGAGTTACATACATGTAAAGAAAACCCTGTATTTAATTTAGAATTCAACTCCTATATTTTTATATCTAAATTGACTCATTCTCTTTTTGATTAAATTCAGAATAATGGACAGATAAACTTATTTTTATTATGCATTTAGCTGAACTTAACATGGTCGCCAGTTTAAATACTTAAGCTTTATAAATACTCCCCAATGATTTTATGAAAACCCCCCGATTATTTTTTGTTTTGTGCGATATTTTTTATGACGGTTGTTTTTTTTCAGTCTGTTTATTATTTATTGTAGGTGTCGTACATACCAGTAAAATGATTTGTATTTTATGTAATTATTTTGTAACAACGATTCTCATTGGTTATTAAAGGGTACAAGTTTTAAACTGGTTGCTTTCAAATATTTTGTCGACAAGACCCAAAACCCTGTTCCTAATCAAATGGTAGTTTGGAGGTTAGGACACTGGAATCTCGACTACAAGGTTTGAATACCTGTGTGGCCTAAGAAGACCCTTGGGCTTCAGGCCTGGTCTGAATTTGTCAAGGGGATGGCCCAAAAAGGAAAGTAGTTTGGATTGGATGAAAAACCGAGGTCCATACTGGAGTGCATGTTAAACGACCCTTAGCAGTTGGAGTTCAGTGCATGGACACAATTCTTCCCCCACTCATGAGTACATGTATTGTGTGGATGGGACGCCGATACTCCATTCCTTCCCAATCCTAACCATATCGGAGAGAGAGAGAAATGGGGTTTAACGTCAACTCGACACAAACTAGGTCAATTTGGGATATGGTTCAATTTTATTTCAGTAATTCGCTTGTGCGTAGGGGTCTTTAGCAGTTGGAGGAAACCGAGGGACCTGGAGAAAACCCACAAGGTTGGACAGGCGACCCTACTCCTTGTCAGGTACAACCGGAGAATCGAAACCATGCCAGTTGACTCAATGACAGACCTTATGATACAGCCTGCACGTGCTAACCTTCAGCCATCCAACCCCCCATGGATGTAAAAGATCCCTTGCCAATTGGAATCTGATATAGAGTAAGCCATAGAGCCGCTGTCCGGGGAAAAATTATTTCCCACATAGCAAACTGTATGGTGTAATGCCTGTCTTTATTAGCCAAGTCGAAGCAGAACAGTAGGACATTAAACCCCATTTCGTTTAATGAAAGAAAAAGTGGATCATCCAGTCTCCTGCAGAAACACATTATGGTAGATATAGGATAAACATAAAACATTCTATATAAATATATAACTTTATTAAACATAACAAAACTGATATCCCACAATGTACCTACATACATCCCACAATAATAAACCTGATGCCTTAACAGGATCTAAACCTCTTTTATTTGGGTCAAAAGAAATTTAAACATACATTATGCAAGAGCTAAATCTGCCGATTGCAGATCTTTCTTTAGGCCTGAAATGTTATATAAATTATTATTCAGACATTTGTTCACATGACAAGATAAAAATCAACTCTCTATGCCATCAGATGCTCAAAGGGATGAAATAAAAAATGATTAGTAGTTAATGATTTAATAAAAAAAATGGATAATCAAGACTTTGTTTACTATCGTAACAATGGTAGCGATGACAATCTAGAGACCGCTTTTCTCCAAACAGCCCTAACTTGGCTCAGAATGAAGTAATTTGACTGAAATTTTCAACATATTCCCTTTTCATTTTCTATATTTTAACTATTATAGTGAGGACTGCCAGTTTTTTAATCTACATCTTACATAATACATCTTTTAAGTTAAATATAAAATAAGAGAATATGGTTGGCCATATTTATACCAATGTTTCTTTCATATGATATCAAGTATTAGTAATATATTGTAACACCAAGTTGTTTTTACAATATATTACACAATGTCTTAAGCTCAAGACCATTAAACAACTTAAAATACAGACACCCCGCACGTGCTTTTACAGTGAAATATTTCACTAGTATAAATAATGTACGATTGGCAAGTTGCCAGTACGATTATTAAAAATAATGGTACGCCAACATCAAAGGGTGAGGTCACATCTGTATTTTTTTAATTGGGAATAATCTAACATTACATAAATTCCACACAGATACAAGAGAAGCACATATTGACAACAAATTTAAAAAAAAATTTATGGCAGTATTGTAAAGCACGAGGTACACCGACAAGGCAACTGAAAGTAATCCATCTGTGTATTCGTTGCTCCCAGTTGCAAATGTCGATGTATGCCAGGGTTTAAACATTTATATCTCCATGGTAACAAAACATATTAAACATAACATTTGTATAAAAACCAACAACATAAAATACACTAACCATACTAACTAACAATTTGCACCAAATTTTAGTAGATACTTCAATTTTGATTGGTTAAGCACTAAAATCAATCTAATATTATCCAATCAAATTACCGTACTAAAATTTGGATTTTATCTTAGTTAAAATTTCGTAAAACAGCCCCCAGATCTAACTAACAATTTTCACTAGATCTGTTAGAGGTTTTAATATATTTGTTATTAATTACAGGGACCATATGCTGCGGTCTGACTTTACCAATTCTTAATGACATGATTTTAGCCCTTTATATTGCATAATGTTTGATATTCAACAAATATCTGTCAGAAAACACATGACACTATTATATATGAGTATTATCGTCCACTCCACACAAACTAGGTCATTTTTGGGTCTAGCTGTTAGAGGAAAACGGAGGACCAAGAGAAAACCCACAAGGCTGGACAGGCAACCCGACTCCTTGTCATGTATAAGCGGGGAATCAAAACCATGCCATTTGACTCAATGACAGACCTTATGATCAAACGTGCAGGCGTATAACCATTCAGCCCCCCCCCCCTCAATTATATGGAGTAAAAGTTATCAAGTTACTTGTATTCCATATAATTGTGTCATGTGTTATTCTCATCCAGTTACTAAGTGCTGCTTAAACAATTTATCTATCAGATATTTATTTTCATTCTGTATTTCTCATATTGTTTATCTGTCTGTAATGTCTCTTACTTTAAACAAATTCAACAATTACAGTTTTCAATTATTGCAAACAGAAATGTGGGACATTTTTGATATTTCCACAACTATGACTTTAGCAAAAGTAAGACCGCTGCATTTGACCGTAAATTGAATAATGCCCATATGTATACATGAATCACCGGCACCCATTATAAATAAATAAATCAACCAAGTTGCTATGATGATAATCTCATCTTTTACATAAATAATACTATATAAATATAATAAAGCTGTTCCTGATCTGTTGTTATTTTATAATCAACATAAGGTCACACGAATAAAATCTATTCTGGTTCTCAAGACAATCCTTACCAAGAATCTGATGCAGGAAGGTTTTTATTTTTGTGTTTTGATTAGGCTTCTCTAGTCATTATCAAGCAATGATAAAATATGAAAATATAACAAGACAATATGTAAACATTTTATCATTGCTTGACAATGACTAGAGAAGCCTAGTCGAAACGTCGCTCAGTAATAAGCAGTAATTGTATTCCATAGAATTGTGATCTGTTTATTCCAGTTCAATTACTGAATGCCATTGTCACTATTTTACTAAATGGTTTCAGCAATCACATACTAAAAATTAAAAAACCTTGTATATCAAATACCAAAGATTTGTTCCTATCTCTTTGTTCTTGAGAAGTCAATAATGAAGAATACAATATATCTATACATCTGAAAGAGGGAATTCCCCTTTTCCTTTATCGTAACACTATTATACTATCTGTAATACATGTGATTTATCGTCGCCCTCCATTACCTTACATGTGGTTTATCGTTAAAAAAGTTTTCTCGGCCATCTTATGTGCACTTTAAAACTTTGTATATCATGTAAAAAAGATTTGTTCAATAATTGTAACAAATAAACATTTTATTTTATACTGAAAAGTCAATGACTAAGAATAAACTATATCCATACATCTGAAAGAGGGAATTCCCCTTTTTTTTATAAACGAATCACGATTCTGTGATCTGTAAAAAATGTGGTTTATTTTTCTTCTCTATTCCTTTAGATGCAATTTTATACTGAAAACTCAACAACTTAGAATAAAATATATCTATACATCTGAAAGAGGGAATTCCCCTTTTCCTTTAAGCGTAACCATATATTGCGATTCGTAAATGTGGTTTATTTTCCCCTCTATGCCATTTGTAATATGTTTACGTGTGAACCCAACCCTGTATGTCTGGTATATTATAATATAGATCTATAGACGAAGGGTTGGAGAAGGCACCACGCTGTAAGACATCTTCCCCGTGTATAGCTTGTCGTACAGCGATCTCCACTTTCTTACCACTTATTGTATACTGAAAATATAACCATAAACAAATATAGAAATCTTGTTATATTTGAAGCATCAAGAGACAGAAATATACCTTCCCCACTTTGATAATTCAGCAATGTGTATGTTTTTTTTTTTAGATGTGAAAGGAAACCCAAATATCCTTAGAAAACCCATGAGATTAGTGGCAGTTTACCTTAACTTTGCAATACAAATAATATAAACAAATATAGAAATCTTGTGACGCATCTTAATGGAAACAGAAATGTCCTTTCCATACTAGTGCGAAGTGTCTTTGTTTCTGTTGGGGGTTGGGTGGTCAAATGGTTTAGCACATGCACATTAGATCATAAGGTCTGTCATTGAGGAAAGTGCCGAGGATTCGAATCCCTGATTATACATGACAACATGTAGGGTCATCTGTCCAACCTCGTGTGTTTCTCCGGGATCTGCAGTTTACTCACACAGATAAAGATAGCGACATTAAACCCCATTTCTATCTCTCTCTCTCTCTCTGATCTTGTCTATGGCTGTTGTAAATCAGAACTAAAAGACAATTCGTTTTGTTTTGAACCATTGAAGATTTTTGATATGAGTGAAATCAGAAAGATAAGGCAATGTGTTTTGTCAGTTTTTCTGTACTTTTGAAGACTTTTTATAGCTTATATTACACACAGCATTGGTAGAAAATTGGAGGACTCAGAGAAAACCCACAAGGTTAGACAGGCATCCTACCCCTGTAAAATGTAATGCTGGGATTGAACCTATGCTTGCAAACCATATCATCTACAGTGCATGAATCATTTGACTCGGTCACCCCTACCCCTACCATTTAAAGAACTGCTGATAGAAAGATCATTTAACTCGGTCACCCTATAGTTTAAAGAACTGCTGATAGAAACATCATTTGACTCGGTCCCCCCCCCCCACTGTTTATAAAGAACTGTTGATAGAAAGATCATTTGACTCGGTCACCCTACCGTTTAAAGAACTGCTGATAGAAACATCATTTGACTCTGTCACCCCCACCGTTTAAAGAACTGCTGATAGAAACATCATTTGACTCGGTCACCCCCACCGTTTAAAGAACTGCTGATAGAAACATCATTTGACTCGCCCCCCCCCGCTGTTTATAAAGAACTGCTGATAGAAAGATCATTTGACTCAGTCACCCTGACTGTTTATAAAGAACTGTTGACAGAAAGATCATTTGACTCGGTCACCCAACCGTTTAAAGAACTGCTGATGGAAACATCATTTGACTTGGTCACCCCCGCTGTTTAAAGAACTGCTGATAGAAACATCATTTGACTAGGTCACCCCAACTGTTTATAAAGTATTGCTGATAGAAAGATCAGAACTTACTGGAATATCTGCTATTGGTAATATCACGGAAGGAACATGACGAGATGTTAAATACGTTCGAACTGATGATTTCAGACTAGTTATCAAATCTTTATTAAATTCTGATCCTGGTGCCATCTTGAGAAATAATATAACCCTTTCCTCGCTGCCGTCAGATTTCCTCTGTGGTACACAAACACTGTCGGCTATTTCTTTAAAGGATTCAACTATAATATAAAAAGATGTAATAAAATATTTACTAAAAACAAAATAATACATAACTGTAGGTCTATAGTTTGACTTCATATGATAGATAAATTATTATTTAGACATTTATTTACATGCCAAGCCTATAATCAATTCTCTAGATCATCGGATGACTAAGATTTAAATGGATTTAAACATCTGAGAAATTTAAAAATTTAACAGTAAAATGGACAATCTGGGCTTAGTCTCGGTTGTCAAGTACCGTTGCTACGATAATAAACGATCTACACAGAAATGAAATCAAATGAAATGAAATGGGGTTTAACGTCCTACTGTTCTGCTCCGAACTGGGCTAATGAAGACGGGCATATGCCATACAGTGTGCTATGAGGGGAAATTTTGCCCGGACAGCGGCACTACGGCCTACTCTTATATCGAATTCCAACTGTCAAGGGATCTTTTACGTGCACGCCAATGTGTACACGGGACCTTGGTTTTTTGTCTCATCTGAATGACTAAACAGCTTTCCTTGTCAGGTCCTTCCATCCTGCATCACTGACGAGGGGGAACCACGCCCGGAAATATGGATAAACTTTCTCGGCCAATGCAGGGATCGAACATCCGACCTCCAGGTTAGCGAGCCAGCGTCTTACCCACTTAGCCAGCGAGATCCTCTATTCTCAAACAGTCATAACTTCAGCAAGAATAAAGTAATTTACATAAAATTTTCAATATATTCATTTTGCATTATCTATTTTGGAACTATTATAGCAAGAATGGCCAGCTCTTTATCTAAACCTTACATAATGTATCTTAAATACTTTTTTTGTTTTGGTTTTAAACTTTTAAAACTTAAAACAGTGGTTACATTCTGTATAATTTGTCGTTATGTATTGTCAGTAAACGCCACTCAAGAATTATATTTTTAAAACTAGAGTTGTCTTTTCATGAAAACTTGTCACAATTCGTGGCAATTATCATCAAATGACACGACCGGAGATTCCTCTACAGACTCTCGGCATGCTCGAAGGTTAATCTAGAATGAGAGAGAGAGAGAGAGAAATGGGGTTTAACGTCCACTCGACACAAACTAAGTCATTTGGGGACTAACACATGGTTCAATTTTATTTCAATCATTAGCTTGCGCTAGGGGTCTTTAGCTGTGGGAGGAAACCGGAGGACCCGGAGAAAACCCACGAGTTTGGACAGGCGACCCTAGGCTACTCCTTGTCACGAACACCCTGGGAATCGAAACCCCGCCAGTTGACTCAATGACAGACCGTATGATACAGCGCGCGTGCTAACCAATCGGCCATCCAACCCCCCTAATCTAGAATGATACAAAGTGACAAAATTACAATTGACTGACACAGAATTCAGTTCTGTCAGCCCTGACAACCGAGGCGGTGCAAGTAAAATCGTAATTAAACACAACGAATGTTTCATATGTCAACTTTGGTTGAAATATTTTATTATCCAGTCGAAACATGCGTTATAGGCTGAAATCCCCCTTTTCACTCTATGATCATTGGTCCTGTGATTGAAAGAATTTACAATATTTACCTACCTATGTGGTATATTTCTGCACTACCAAATCTAACACCATTTGGGTTTAATGTGCCATCACTTTAAATATACAGAATTATATAACAGATCACAACATTTAAAGGGAGAGAGAGAAATGTTAACTATTATTGCTGTATTATGTATGGTAGTTTGGGTGTCAATCATTATTGCTGTAGGGTATGAAATGAAATGAAATGGGGTTTAACGTCCTACTGTTCTGCTCCTATGCTGGGCTAATGAAGATGGGCATACGCCATACAGTGTGCTATGAGGGAAATTTTGCCCGGGTAGGGGCGCTACGGCCTACTCTTATATTGAATTCCAACTGCCAAGGGATCTTTTACGTGCACGCCAATATGTACACGGGACCTCGGTTTTTCAGACCATCCGAACAACTAGACAGCTGTCCTTGTAAGGCTCTCCGTCCTGCATCACTGACAAGGGGAAACCACGCCGGAAAATCTGGATGAACTTTCTCAGCCAATGCCGGGATTGAACACCCGACCTCCAGGCTAGCGAGCCAGTGTCTTACCTACTTAGACACGTGATGCCCCTGCTGTAGGGTAGTTTGGATGTTAGTAAAAAAGACATACCTGCGTCCTAACATAACGAGTCCACCAGTAGCTGAATTTATCATACAGTAATCACCATGGGCCCATACACCTGTATAATAAACACAATTAAATACACACCAGGTATTTATAACATAAACAGCTTACAACTAGCTATCAGGTACAAAATCATTTTTAAAACTTTTCCATGGCCGAATTGTTAGCACATGCGCACTGTATCATAAGGTCTGTCACTGAGTCAACTGCCATGGTTTCGATTTTGTATGTGACAAGGAATAGGGTCGCCTGTCCAACCTTGAGGGTTTTCTCTGGGTCCTCCGGTTTCCTCCCACTGGTAAAGACCCCTACGCACAAGCAAATTATTGAAATAAAATTGAAACATGTGTTTGTCTCGAGTGGACGTTAATATATATATATCTCTCTCTCTCTTACATATTCACACCTACGATAACTTAAATAACACAAACGAATTATTGAAATAAAATTGATACATGTGTTAGTCCTGAAATGCCCTAGTTTGTCTCGAGTGGACGTTAATCTTTCTCTCTCTATATATATATGTCTACAACTATCTATTTTACATAATATCTGAAATATGATAATTCAAATCACACCTACGATAATTCAAATCACACCTACGATAATTCAAATCACACCTACGATAATTCAAATCACATCTACGATTACGATAATTCAAATCACATCTACGATTACGATAATTCAAATCACACCTACGATAATTTAAATCACACCTACGATAATTCAAATCCCACCTATGATAACTTAAATCTCACCTACGATAATTTAAATCCCACCGACCATAACTTAAATCACACCTATGATAACTTAAATCACACCTACGATAACTTAAATCACACCTACGACAATTTAAATCACACCTACAAGGAAACGTTGAGACCCAAATAAAGAGTAGAATATAAACGCCACCTACCAGGAAATTTATCGAAGTAAGCTCGATGATATTTGAGATTATTTGGATCATTCCAGAATTTAACGGGCATGGAAGGAAATGGTTTTAAACAGACTAAGTCACCACTTGTATTGTATACTGGTTTACCTGAAATATAATACACATAAACTTGGTAATTTAGCAATTGACGAGACGCAGTGGCTCAGTGTGGAAGGTCTTGGGTAAGACGCTGGCTAGCTAGCCTGGAGGTCGTGTGTTCGATCCCTGCATTGGCCGAGAAAGTTCATCAGGATTTTCTGACGTGGTTTCCCCTTGTCAGTGGTGCAGAACGGATTGCCTGGGCAAAATTTCCCTCATAGCACACTGTATGGCGTATGCGCGTCTTCATTAGCCCAGTATAGGAGCAGAACAGTAGGACGTTAAACCCCATTTCATTTCATTTGTAAGGTCTTGGGCTTTCTCCTGGTATAGACCGAGAAAGTTCCTCAGTGGGGCAGGATGGAGTGGTGTCCCCTTGTCAGTGGTGCAGAAAGAGTATCAAGTCTAGTCCAGTAAATAAAACTGTACCATATGTTAGTCCCGAAATAACCCAGTTCGTGTTGAGTGGATGCCTCTGCCTCTCTCTCTGTGACTAAAACCTCAAATGGTCTTCTGTGCATGAATTAAATCTTAAATATTCTAGGTATGACCCTGATTGGATGAACTCACAAAAACCAAATCATAAAGTACATATCTATAAATCTTTGAATGTAATTGATAAATGATATCATACCAGTTTCATCCCAACTGTTCATATCACAACCTAACACCATTGACTGGATTTCACCTTTATAGACTGGTAATGTAACATTCTGTCCCATAAAACATGCTATAATATCTGTACCACCTTAAATATAACATAAACATATTTATAACATTCAGTCCCATAAAACATGATATAATATCTGTACCACCTTAAATATATTTATAACATTCAGTCCCATAAAACATGATATAATATCTGTACCACCTTAAATATAACATAAACATATTTATAACATTCAGTCCCATAAAACATGCTATAATATCTGTACCACCTTAAATATAACATAAACATATTTATAACATTCAGTCCCATAAAACATGATATAATATCTGTACCACCTAAAATATAGTTAACATATAATTTTTACACCAGAACTTCAAATCCGTAAATTTCGATGAATTTTTTTTTTTGATATAATGACCAACATAATGCAGCTAATAACTTGTAAACATATTACTACATGACTGTATTTATTATACATTTATTCACATGAGGCCATAATCAACTCTCTAGAACTTCGAATGGTCTTGATTTTCAACAGATTTGAATACAATTGGCAGTTAAGGATGTGATTAAAAATTGGATAATCAAGGTAATTTGAGTGAAATTTTCAACATATTCCCTTTTCATTATCTATTTTTTTTAACTATCATAGCGGGAACTGTCTGGTCTTTATCTTAATTTTTACATAATGTATCTTTAACATGAACTATCTTTGATAGCCTGATTGGTGAAGTAAAGCAGGAAATTAAACGACATTTCATTCATTCATTATTAAAATGAACAAAAAATCCAAAAAAAGAGTATCTTGTTACTTGTGGTCACCGCCAAACATCAAAATAAAATTAAAGTTTTGTAAATTACCTGAAATTGATCCAAGTAGAAGATCTTGTTTAATATCTCGATAAACATATTCATAACTCTGTGGTTTTAACGGAGATCCTGTCGATAATATCATACGCAGAGACTTTAAACTATGGGTTTCTTCTGTAATTATAAAATATACGATTTATTAGTGAACATAGGCTACCAGACAACTAGCCGTACGCCCACCAGCAGCTAAGTTGTCCGCAAAGTTATGAGCTAAATATATGACCACGCCAAAATGAGATATTTGATATTCAGACAAGCCGAGATTCAATAATTAATAGAACACACTGATACAAAAAAAAACAAAAAACAGCTTTTTATCCTGAAGAAGTCAGTACTTTTCTTGACAAAACATTGGATACAAAGATGGCTTTTTGATATCATTATATGTGGGCACATAAAAACAGAAATTTTGAATTGGAGGTTTTGAATTAGTTTTATCCAATTCATATCTTGTACCTAAAATAGGCCTCCATAATTCATAATTAGCCAGCAAATAAACGTATAGAAATAATTAAATATTATATTGTTTTGATTCACTTAAATTGAAATATAACAAAGTCTAACTATGAAAAAGAATGATTTACAAAAAGGGAATTTTATTTTTGTTCCTATTCATTCAGTTTACACTTGCGCGTATGGGTCTTTAGCTGTTGGAGGAAACCGGAGGACTGGAGAAAACCCACGAGGTTGGACAGGCGACCCTACTCCTTGTCACGTACAACTGGGGTATCGAAACCTCGCCAGTTGACTCAATGACAGACCGTATGATAGAGCGCACCTGTGCTAACCATTCGATCATCCAACCCCCCATTCAGTTTACAGTTACATTTTAAGAACTTCAGAGAGCATATGAAATGTATTATTAAAATTGTGCATCTTATTCTGAATTATCGTTTTCATGAGATTAAAATTAAAATATTTACTTGGTTTCACATTTTTCTCCTCTAAAACGGACAGCCATTTTGCACCTGTGCCCAATATGGTAATTCTGAAGAAAAAGATGAATTCTTATAATTCTTATTAATCTTAGTCCACCTCATAATCAAGTCCATCTCATAATCAAATTGATTAATCAAGTCCACCTCCTAATCAGATTGATTAATCAACTAAGGCCATCTCATAATCAAATTGATTAAATCAACTAAGCCCATCACCCTTTCTAATAGGCGAGCTGTAAATGTTCATCAAGTAAGGTGATAGCAACCTGGGGATTCCTGGTACCTTATCAGCGTTGCACAATGGAGGAACTGGCAAGGAACAGCGTCTAGAAGAAGTCATCAACCAGAATTATCGAACACAGATTTTCAATGGCTTGATAATTAATCACTGACTTTAAAACTAGTAATTTATTAATCATATGTGATATATTTATAATATCATATATGTGATATATGTATAATATCATATATGTGATATATGTATGATATCATATATGTGATATATGTATGATATCATATATGTGATAAATGTATATCATATATGTGATATATGTATATCATATATGTGATATATGTATATCACATATGTATAATATCATATATTTGATATATGTATAATATTCTATATGTAATATATTACCCTGATTTATCTATTAGATCCCAGAATATATTAGGTGTTGGTATAAGAGGTGATCCGTCGTACAGAAAGATGGCAGCACCAACCGCTAATACTGATACTAACCAATTCCACATCATCCAACCTGCCTATAAAATATATACATTGTCATCTAGAAGTATGGTTAAATATTACAACAAAAACATAACACAAGGTATGTATCATTAACTTGAAAAAGTGACCTGTATGTGTTATGAAACGTTTTAATTAAATAACAAATATTTCTATCATTAACTTGATACTTACTGTAGTATAATATAACATTATATCATCTCGTGTCATATCACTCTGTATCCGATGTTCTTCTAAATGCTTTAATAAAGTTCCCTGTAAAAAACATCATATAAACTATATATAGTAATAGCAATCAACATTTCCATCACAAATCAGAGAAAGAATTTTACACCTAATAAGAATATAAAATTGTAGATTACCTAATCTGCTTGAGCATTGGTAGGCAAAGTCAAGAATGACCCCCTTAGGTCTGTTATTGGGCCTAAATTTGTCAAATCTTGATTTTTTTAAATGAAATGAAATGAAGTTTAACAACCTACTGTTCTGCTCCGAACTGGGCTAATGAAGATGAGCATACGCCATACAGTGTGCTATGAGGGAAATTTTGCCTGGACAGCGGCACTACGGACTACTCTTATATCAAATTCCAACTGTCAAGGGATCTTTTACGAGCAAGCCAAAGTGTTCATGGGACCTCGGTTTTTCGTACCATCAGAACGACTCGACAGCTGTTCTTGTCAGGCCCTCCGTCCTGCATCACTGACAAGCGGGAAGCACGCCCGAAAATCTGTAGATTTTTTGAGGCTAGAGAGTAACATATCAGTTTGGCTGAACATTTATACTGCATTAGCACTCGGCAAACTTCAGCATATTCCGGTACTCTCCTGGGCAACCCCGTTGGTAATCCGGAAACTTGAAAGTAGTGCCAATGGCTAGATGTAGGGTACTGGAGTCTGCTGAATGTTCTATAATATACTCACTCCTACAGAATGTACCATACATTTGGGTACACCTGTTGTACCAGATGAATACATTATATATAGTGGATGATTAAATGGAACTTGTTCAAACTTTAACACAGGTTGTCTCCCTTCTTTTATACCATCTGATAAAAACTGTTCTAAACTACAACTATAGAGATATAACAACATAGGGTTAGTTAATAAAACATTATATATATTCTAAATGAAATTGAGTTTAACATCCTACTGTTCTGGTCAGACTGGGTTAATGAAGATGTGTGCTAGGAGGGAAATTTTGCCTGGACAGTGGCACTACAGCCTACTCTTATTTCAAATTCTAACTGTCAAGGGTTCTTTTACGTGCACGCCAATGTGTTCACAGGACCTCATTTTTTTGTTCCATTTGAACTACTAGACGTTGCCCCTTGCCAGGCATTCTGTCATGCACCACTTACATCGTGGAACCATATCGGAAAATCTTGATGAACTTTCTCAACCAACATCAGGATCAAACACAGGACGTCCTGGTTACCAAGCCAATGTCTTACTCAGTGAGCCACCACGGCTCTTTAAAACCACATAGAGATTTCTTTTCATATTCCAACGTCATTATTATTATTATCTTTTTACATCCCAAGTTAAAAACACAGGTTCTGCTTACTCAGCTTCTTGCAGAAAAGAAATGAAATGAAATGAAATGGAGTTTAACGTCATACTGTTCTGCTCCTAACCTGGGCTAATGAAGACGGGCATACGCCATACAGTGTGCTATGAGGGAAATTTTGCCCGGACAGCGGCACTACGGCCTACTCTTATATCGAATTCCAACTGCCAAGGGATCTTTTACGTGCACGCCAATGTGTACACGGGACCTCGGTTTTTTCGTCCCATCCGAACGACTAGACAGCTTTCCTTGTCAGCCCCTCCGTCCTTGCAGAAAAGAAGCAGGTTTAACTCCAGTTCATCTCCTCATGATAAGACAAACAAGTTTTGTATGATTATACATGAAATTAAGTTGACTTTAATTGCAAGAAGCGTTTCGAGAGATTAAAGGGCCATTATGTAAGATTAGATAAAGAGCTGACAGTTCTCGCTATAATACCTACAAAAATACATAATGTAAAGGGAATATGTTGAAAATTTCAAATTGTTTCACTCTGAGCCGAGTTATCACCTTTACAAGGATAGTGTAGCCTCAATTGTCATTACTAATGTTGTTAAGATAATAAACAAAGTCTTGATTATCCATTTTTAAATTAAATCACTGAATAGAAGAACCATTCTAACCTATCGGTACTTAAAATCGGAGCCATCTGATGGCATCGAGAGTTGATTATGGTCTTGTCATGTTAAATAATGTCTAATAATAATTTATCTAACATTTCAGGCCTGAAGAAAGGCCTGCAATAGGCAGATTTAGCTCTTGCATAATGTATGTTTAAAATTAAACTGTGAAACATTATTCTAAGAGCTTTATATTTATGAAAGATATCTAAAAATATATGATTAATTTTTATAAATGTTAGAGAGAATGTTTTGTCAAGTGTATAATTTAGTTTAATATAATATTAAATTGTGAGATATTATATACTATTCAAAAAAAGTAGGGGATATTTGATTTTTAAGTGTTATTAAAGTCACCTAATGAAACTGACGAAGAAACAAATGACAAAATGAAATGAAGTTCACATTCATCGATTTATTCCAAATGATCGTTAGACTAAGTAAGGCACAGACTGACCATTATAAGGGTAAAATGATACCCGGGGTCAAACAGCAAAGTTACCACAGCATCACAACCAAGTCAGTAACGGGTAAATCCTCCTCTGTTTGCCAAACAAGCATTGATCCGACGTGGCATACTCCTAATGAGACGTCTAAGGTCATTTTGGTCCAGATTGTCCCATTCCTGTTGCAACGCAGCAGCAAGTTCTTGGACATTGGCAGGACGTTGTTGACGTTGACGTAACCTCTGTCCAAGCATGTCCCAGACATGCTCGATGGGGGAGAGGTCGGGACTCAGTGCTGGCCAAGGTAATCTGGTGATGTTCTGTTGTTGGAGGTAACCTGTAACGATCCTGGCCCTGTGACATCTTGCGTTGTCATCCTGGAAGATGAAACGGCGGCCATGACGTCGTGCGAACGGCACAACATGGACTGCCAAGATGTTGTCCCTGTAGTACTGGCCTGTAACACGCCCTGCAACAACATGTAAAGCCGTTCTTCCAGCAACAGTGATGCCTCCCCACACCATAACAGAACCACCCCCAAATCGATCATGTCTGATGACGTTAACGTCTTGGAAGCGCTCGTTTCGACGACGCCACACCCTCCTACGTCTGTCCAAAAAATCAACAGTGAACCTTGACTCATCTGAAAACATCACATTGCTCCAGCGTCGATTATCCCAGTGTTGACGATCCCTACACCAACGACGTCTTGCCTGAATGTGATGATCTCTCAAACAAGGAATCACGCGAGGACGTCGGGCGCGAAGGTGACCCCTATGCAGTCGATTCCGAATCGTCTGGCCACTCACTCTCACACCAGTGTCTGTTTGAAGACGAGCGCTGATCTGATTTGCTGTGATGACACGATTTCTCAAGGCCAAGGTACGGATAAATCGATCCTGGGCTTGAGTTGTCGCCCTTGGTCGACCTGAGCGTGGTCTGTCCTGTACAGATTGTGTATCACGGTATCTGGACCATAGCCTGCTTATGACAGACTGAGAAACATTCATCGTCCGCGCCACAACCGCCTGTGTTGTGCCGATCTGTAGCATGCCAAGGGCACGTAACCTTTCATTTTGGGTAAGCCGACGCATATCAAAATTTGTTTTCTGGTCACTAAAACAATTAAACTGATGTTTCCACCCTGGAATTCAATGCCACAATGACTGTAACATTCAAAGTCAGAGTCGTGCAAATCTTGGGTTCGACCCCCATGATGATCCCAAGCATCACCTGCATTCCATGCGGTAGCTATTGGTGCGTTTGGGCGTCACATGTAACTGGAAATGTTTCTTCTGTTAGGTTCTATAGTGACTTTTTTCGTAGTCATTTGCATATTTTAGTATTATGCCCCCAAAATCAAATATCCCCTACTTTTTTTGAATAGTATACTAAGAGCATCATATTTATGTTAGAGAATGTTTTGTCAAGTGTATAATTTAGTTAAATATATTTACCTGTTCGGAATGTGACAAAGATCAAATTTACTTTCTTTAACAAAAGGAAAAATTACGACTTTTTCTAAATCTGGTAATCCTGAAAAATACAGCGACAATTTAAAACAGATGGAAACTTGCAGTGATGATCTTACAAAAATCTCAATTATCCATTTATGACAACTTGATATCCATAGCTTTGTGGGCAAAAAAACCCCAAAACCACCATATATTTTTATGTTTCTGAATCATGGACTTGCAAACCTGACTACCGCTACAGTGTGCCAGTTCACTAGTTCAGGAAACTATTTCAAAATAAAATGTGACTAACCTCTAACCACCTGTTCTATTTTCTCCATATGATTGTGTATTTTACCATTATAATTTACACCATTTACACTAAATATTAACTTGGGACGAATCTGGGAAAATCTTTCTAAAACACCCTAATAAAAAAATAAGGTTTTAGCTTTACAATACTCTTTTATTTTTCGATGTTTTTGGAGGGTGCAAAACTATCATTATAAATCACACCTAACAGCATCAACATCTCTACTACATGTATATGGTGCTTTAGTTTGATACACCATCACTGTAATCCGGGTATCATTTAATCTTGTGTATCTAGCACTAATTTCTTTCAAATTCATTCAATTATCAAATCTTTGTTTAAAAATTCGTAAAAATCATTTAAAATCACCAATCATCCAATATCAACTAATTTGTACTTTTGTCCAGTTTAAAACTGACCATTCAATTTTGATAATGAGTGTCCAATTTATAAGCGTTTAATTTCTCAATCACTGTCAAAAAATAAAAAACCCAACTGATTATTGATGTATAATGAATAATTTTTGAACAGTGGTCAGGAAATAAAATACTTATAAATTGGACACTTAGTGTCAAAATTAATCAGTCAGCTTTAAACTGGACACAACTAAAAATTATATGATTTGGGGTGATTTTAAATGATTTTTACAAATTTTTAAACAAAGATTTGATATTAAACGAATGTGAAAGAAATTAGTGCTAGATACACAAGATTAAATTATACCGGGTTGCAGTGATATCTGGATGTCTGATTCGGTATATTTGAGGCTAGACTTCAGCCAATAGTTGCGGACCTGTCTGTCATATACAGACAACACAGAATTAACGATTCAAAGACTAAAATAAACATGTTTGACAGGCATGTTCATGAATAAGATCCAACTCAGAACTCACCACAACTCCGAAATCTGGTGATGTAGAGCTCCAGATAGCCCCAATACTAGCTGTAGCTAACATAGCTATAACAGCTTCTTCACAATTAGGTATATAACCTGGCAAAATACAAAAACAACCAGGAATATAATAAATAAGAATACATATCTTGTACTATAATCTTTAATCTAAATCAATATCATACGCGATAAAACCTTTCATGTTGAATTCCTTTTAACTTTGTCCCCCAACCATAGTCTAAAACATTATTATACTCAATAAATGCTTTCATGCTGAATTCATTTTAACTTTGTACTCCAACCATAGTCTAAAACTAGTCTCAATAAATGCATTAATACTTCATACTCTTTTATCTTTAGTATTGTTATCTTGTCAGCGTTTCCAAAGTCGGATTTAGCAAGGCCCCCTAACACCCTCTTTTGATAGCACCAAACCATTTTTCAGATGACACATTTTATGACTGATAGCTGATAGACCATTCATTTCTATATGTACCAACCTACAACTCTATCTCCAGTCTGGATACCCATGGCTCTCATAGCTGCAGCATAGACACTTACATCATGCCTTAACTGATGAAATGTTTTAGTCTTCACTTCTGCTTGTCCTTCTCCTGTAAATAAATCAGTTAAAATATTTTTTTAAAAAGATGAACAAAAGTATCATCACCTCATAATAAACAATTAAAGATGCACTATGTCAGATTTAGATACAGAGCTAACCATTCTTGCTATAAAAGTTCGAAAATGGATAATGCAAAATGAATATATTGAAAATTTCATTCAAATTACTCTATTGCCAGGTTTGACGGTTTGACAAGATGTGTGAATTAATTGTAACCATTGTACTGGTTGTTTGAAGCTAAGCCTCGCTTCTCCATTTTTAAATTAAATCAAAATATAGCTGAACCATTCTAATCTACTTAATATCGAAGATATCCAGTGGCATCGAGAGCTGATTATGGTCTTGTCATTTAACAATCTGGTTAAAACACAGATCCTATTTCGTTTCGTTTTTATAGTTCAAAATTTCGATTTTACTTGTCTTTACTACACTTGGATCTGGAAGAGTTGTTATTTAACTCGTGTTCTGAATGGTGTCAGGGATAAGCCAATGAAACAGTCTGTTACGGCGAGCTTTAGACGTGTTTTGCACGGAACTGTGGGTAATCCACTAGTGACATCAATGCTGATTGGTTAATCAAATGTCTGACATCATAGGGTCATAAGTCGGTCTTTTGAACCCCAACGTGACCTATCGCTATAACTTGTCAGATCTTCATGTAGTGTAGGCCATCGAAAGTATAAAAAAAACGAAACAAAATATAGATCTGTATTTTAATCAGAGTTGGGGGGGGGGGGGGGATGGCTGAATGGTTAGCGTGCGGGCACTGTATCATAAAGTCTGTTATTGAGTTGACTGGCGTGGTTTCGAATTCCCGGTTGTACGTGACAAGGAGTAGGGTCGCCTGTCCAACCTCGTGGGTTTTCTACGAGTCCTCCGGTTTTCTCCCACTGCTAAAGGTCCCTACGCGCAGGCGAATTATTGAAATAAATTTAAACCATACAAATTATTGAAATAAAATTAAACCATACAAATTATAAAAATAAAATTAAACCATATGTTAGTCCTGAAATGACCTAGAGTGTGTCAAGTGGACATTAAACCCCATTTCTCTCTCTCTCCTACCTGTAGAGTAAATGGCTATTCTATCATCATCATAACGAAGTAAATTCTCAGCAAAATTCATTCTAACTCCATGAAACCATTCAGGTATTTCAGCTATATCTTTATTCTTATCAATTACCTTTAAATACAAAATATATCCCATGTACGATTATTTGAAATAATGGCACGCCCTCATCAAAGGGTGATGTCACATCTGTATTTTAAATCTCTTTAGCACAGCATAATGGTGGAAATGGTGAGAATTTGAATTTACTTATCTTAACAATTCATTGAACGAATTTAGTTCTCGCACTCCAATTCAAATAGTTTTTCATGGCTTTTTCGAATGTAGTGGAATGTGAATTAAAATTTGATTTTTTTGTACTGTTTATTCAAAAGTTAGGGAAAGTGCTTGTGTTCTATAGGAAGTATTTTATAATATTAATTTCATGTAATAAACTAACATATAAAAATAACTAATGATTTAAAATTCCAGTATTCATAAACTCTAGAAATGCAATAGTCATTTGATGAGAGCAAGCTTTCTATTTCGATTATTTTAATTCTAAATAATACTTTATCGTGTTATTTTCCATATTGTATAAGTAAATACCCTATTTGCACATCTTTCATGTGTTTTTTTGTATTTTTCCCGATAGTTTATTCTGTTATATTATAAGTTGGGTATTATTAAAGCTGGTTGTATGGAGAAGATTAATATACATGTAGTAGACCAATAGTTTTGTTTATGAATAATAAAATAAAATAAAGTCAAATGACATGTTTTATTAGTGAAGTATATGATGCAGACAATGTCATTCTTATTTACTGCATCTTGTCCTTGACCTTACAAACCTCTTCTAACAATGGATAAACAATAACTGATTATTGTTAATTATAATTTCATTTGAGCTTCTTGTGATTTTCCAGCCTGGTGGAGGATGGAGGGTCTGACAAGGAACAGGGTCTAGTTATTTGGATGATAAGAAAAACTGAGGTTCTTGTACAAGTAACAGAACCATTGACAGTTGGAATTCAATTGCTGCCTGGGTGAAATTGCCCTAATAGCACACTCTATGCCAGTCTTTATTAGCCCAGTTATAGTCCATGTGACAGACCTTGGATTTTGGAGCATCATTACCAATTTGATAAAAAAATTCAACCTTGATTTTCAGTTAGCCTAGTGTTGAAATTTGGTTGATGGACTTCCAGGTCACTTTGCTAAGGTTTCCCCGATGCCTCAATTTCAATGAAATAACGGCAGCTATTTTCAAATATAGCCGCCGTTATTTCATTGAAATTGAGGCATCGGGGAAACCTTCATAACTCCTGAACAGATTGACCTATGGATATGGAATGTGGCTCATAATGTTCGCAAGAAAATGATACATCTGCTGCTACATGTATATGATACTTGTTGTTGAATGAATCATATATTTTCCAAATCAACAGATTATTCTGGAAAAAGCAACGTTTAGGCATTTTTTAAAAAAGTTTTCATGATTTATTTTATAAGTTTACTACCAAATCATGTTCAGAGTAATTTTAGCCAAATTATGTGTGTGGTCTTCTTAAGTTATTCATTTGGCATAAATAAATACGCCCAGTGGTCCTCCCAGTAGAGCTGCGGTAGCTGCAAACTCAACAAAGTCTTAAGTAGACTGTCAAATTTAAAATGTTGAACGTCGGCGAGGCAGGACACCAACTTGGGGACGGGTTTTTGTGAGTCAAAATTTATCACTGAAGACAATTTGGAGATTATGTCACTTCTGTGACATCATTTTCTGTTGGGGTTCTGTCCGATTTCCAAACTGGCTGCCAAAATTTAAGGAAAAACAAATTTCTAGTTAGGATAGGTGAGTATCATGCAAGGTACATGTAAGGCTTGTGATTTATCATATATAGGGTTTTCTTAACAACTGAATTTAAAATTGATCTCTTAAAATGAATTATTTATTGGAATTTTCGATGAAACGGAAAGGTTTGTTCCGCACAAGGATTAGCTTAGAAGGGACAAATACAATTTGTAGAACCAGATATTTGATGTTAGTGAACCCATTTGTTTCCAGGACACCTGTTATAAACAGAATCTTATTTTCTATCCAGACGGTCATTCCGTATAAAAATCTATCTGCATACAAAGTTTATGAAAATACACATTTAAACAGCATTTAATATGGTCTACTACATGTAGGACTCTCCCTTCAACTTAAAGATAGGCTGCCAGACAATGAAACATACGCCCACAGCAGCTAAATCGTTGGGGCAGTCAACAAGAGTTGTCACATATTTTAACTTTTACTAATTATCAGAAAATCATTAGAATTTGTTTGGTTTTTATACAGTTCTGCCCCATGCTAACGTTTAGTATACAAAACATTTAATATCATGGATTTAGCAGTTCAAGTTATCAAAATTCAGATACTTGTTCATCTCAAGTGATCAAGGGCCATAACTCTGGCAGTAATTACTGGAAATGGCTGAAAATCAATGGGGGTCTTTGTCTCATGACCTTAAACACTGTGTATAAATTTAAAGTCAATCGGCTATTAACGTTAGCCGCTAGATCGTCCACATGCAATTGTGGACGCTGGACCTCTGGACGGATGGACGGACGGGGGCATCGACAATATACGACCACATTTGAATGTGAGAGTATAAAAATAAATTGTTTATTGGAATTTTCGATTAAACGTAAATATTCTTGTAGCTGTAAAATACTTGACTAATAGACCAGTTGTTAATTTGTAACATGTTTAACACCATATCTTTCTACACGAATTAACAATAAATTATTCATTCGATAAAACGGAAACATTTTTATAGCTGTAAAATAATATACATGTATCAATTAATTTATATGATAAGTTACAGCCTACTATGAAATACAGAAATTTGCAACACATTTTAACAGCATATCTTTCTACATGACCTAACAACAAATTGTTTATTGGATAAAAAGGAAACATTTTTTTTTTATATAACTGTAAGTTACAGTCTACCATGAAATACGGAAATTTGCAACACATTTTAACATCATATCTTTCTACATGACCTAACAATAAATTGTTTATTGGATAAAAAGGAAACATTTATTTTTATATAACTGTAAAATAATATACAAATTTTTATTTAATATGCCATATTTTTACTGAAAATTAAAGTATTCAAGTAATGTGGGAATTTGAAACACGCTTCAACATCCTACCTTTCGCCCCCCTTTTCAGGGATGGACACTCAAAAGGAGTATGGTAGTTTCGGGGGTCCCTAAACTATTTAATGTTCTTGCGTAGTCATGAATTTACGTCATTTTTGAAGAATTGTTAAATATATGCATAAGCTAAAAACACCAGGATATACTCTAGAAAGCACCATTTACGGTCATTTTTTTTTCAAAAGAAATTTTGAGTCTGGTTGGAGAGAACCCTGTCGTTCACCTCACAGAGCAAAGATAAGCCTGTCCTATCCTACATGTAGGTAACATATGTGTCAACTTCACATTTGTTAGTATAAATATAGCATTTGCGTGACAATTATCACAATTTTCATCTGGCCTTAAAACATTTTGCTTGGATTTGTCTTCCTGGTGTTATAAGCTTTCCAAAAATGTATAGTTTTTTTTAGTAGGGATGACCTTGTAGCAGAACTGTGTTTCTAAGCAGGCTAAAAATTTTAGCTGCAGGACTACTAGACTATACGACATTGACAAGAGTTGCTGGGCATAGTCTTTAATGTAAAAATGGATCACATTACCATTTCTGAACGAATAAGAGAACTTAAATCCCCAACAAAGGATATATCATAAATAATTCTTAATATGGCTAAAAATGGTGCAAAGGCATAGGAGATGAAATTAAAATGCCTCACTATTTTGGTGGAATGTTTTGTGATCTGTGAGATCCAGTATAAACAATTCCATATGATCTGTGAGATCCAGTATAAACAATTCCATATGCCCCATTGTATTGTTTATGGGGTGGGGGTGGAGGATCGGATAAGATGTGTCATTTTTACCATTATCATTTTCAGCATTCATTTTTAAGTTTTTATTCAAGTTTGGTGACTCTGAAAACCTTATAAAAGAAATATCATAAGCTATTTAAAACAGAAAATTGACGATTTACTAAAATATCATTCATTTTACGGTGGCCCCAATTTTGAATTTTCGCCATCTTGGATTTTTCAAACTTTTTGTTCAGATTAATTGTAAGTTCAGCGACACTGAGCACCCTTTCAATTGAATAGTACATGTCATATCAAACAATGAATGACTATTATCTGACAAATTGGCCATTTTAGGAAATTTGGTCGCCATTTTGAATTTCTGCCATCTTGTATTTGGGAATCTCATATTAGAGATTATTTTTTTATGATCAATGTTTCGTTTCTGATGTCTATTAAATCACTTTAGTTGACCAAATAGATAATTTGGCTTATATGGGTCTAAACACGATTTGTTAGTAAACTTCAAATTAATCTTTTATTTTAAAACTAATGGTATTCATTAAACAACATATCAGATGCAGAATTATATTATGAACATTTTGAGCTAAATTACATATCCATAGGTGAAACTGTTGAGGAGTTATGAAGGCTTCCCCGACTCGCACTATTTCAAATAAAAAAAAACGACGGCCATTTGTAAAGATGGTCGCCAAACTGACATTTGGTAAAGTTACCCAGAAGTCCATCAACCAATTTTGGACACTTTAGACCTAAGGCTAACTGAAAATCATAATTAAACCAATTCATCCAATTGGTAATGAATATCTGCTTGTCACGTGGACTATTAACAAGTAGAATGTTAAACCCCATTTTATTTATTCATTATATTTTACCTCATCGTATGGCTCACTGTGAATCACATCTGTAAATTTCCAAACTTCTTCCCAGAATTGTGAATAATTTTCACAGGACCATTTATGGAACTGATGGTAGGTTTCTGTAATTGACAAAAACAGAACATGATAAATTCCATTTAATTTTTTTCTCGTTTCAACCTCGTTAGGAGAGAAAAGAAAGAATGTATTCCCACAATTTGTTTGCATTTTGTGGGTCTTCAGCAGTGGGAGGAAATCGAGAGGACCAGGAGAAAACCCAAATACAAGCTTGGGATCTGAACCACCCCACTTGACTCTACGACAGACCTTATGATCTAAAGCTAACATATTAGACCACTAGACCCCTGATTCCAAGCCAGCGTGATAATAAAGCAGAAAATAATCATAAAAACTCGACTGGAAAGGAAATACTTTTTTATGTGTTGGATTAAAAAAATTCCGAAAATGAGCACTACATGTAATTTGTGGTCTATCAAATGATGATATTATTATTCAAATATTCTAAGTGTTCATTGAAACATAAAAAAAATCAATTTTTTGACTGTTTTGGTCAATTTTTTATATTTCTAGAAATTATAAATCTTTCAAATCAGTTTATTTTCCCTTAGTTACATGTATCTGTTTGTTTATTTTTGAATATTTGTTGATTTTATTTATCAAATAGTCTTAAATGATTATTTGATAATATAAAATGTACGAATAAATCGTGACCTGCCAGAATAACACAGTCTTGTTAAGCATATAAAATCAGAAAGATTTTGGGTAAAATATCAGGAGATAAGCAGGAGTTATTTCATAACAAAACCAAATTAACAAGACCACAGTTTAATTCATAATTATATGCTAATAAATCTCATCAGCAAACAAAATCAAATTTCAATTTCTATGCTAATAAATCTGTTTAGAATAAAATTAACACAAAACATTTCCATACAAATAAGGAAATGAAATGAAATGGGGTTTAACGTCCTACTGTTCTGCTCCGAACTGGGCAAATGAAGATGGGCATACGCCATACAGTGTGCTATGAGGGAAATTTTGCCCGGGCAGCGGCACTATCGCCTACTCTTATATCGAATTCCAACTGCCAAGGAATCTTTTACGTGCATTCCAATGTATACACGGGACCTCGGTTTTTCGTCTCATCCGGAGGACTAGACAGCTGTCCTTGTCAGGCCCTCCGTTCTGCACCACTGACAAAGGGAAACCACGTCGGAAAATCCCGATGAACTTTCTCGGCCAATGCAGGGATCGAACACCCGACCTCCAGGCTAGCGAGCCAGCGTCTTAACCAACTAGCCACTGTGGCTCCTCCATACAAATAAGGAAATGCATACAAATAAGGAAATTTCAATTTCTATTCTAATAATTTTTTTTAAAATAAAAAGTAACACAAAACATTTGCATAAGGATATGTAATAGAGTGCTAGAATTTGTAAGAGAGCATGAGGAGGATGTACAGAGTGCTAGAATTTTTAAGAGACCCCTAGAAGGATATGGTCAGAATAAATTATTGGGAGGGAGAGAGAGGGCAATGGGGTTTAACGTCCAATACGACACAAACTAGGCCATTTCGGGAATAACACATGGTTCAATTTTATACCAATAATTCGCTTGTGCATAGGGGTCTTTAGCAGTGGGAGGAAATAACCAGAGGACCCGCAGAAAACCCACGAGGTTGAAAATTATTTGGAGGTATAAAGAGAATAAAAAAATAAAGGCTGCAGTTCATGGGAGGTGTGGGCTGAGGGTGTGTGGCTGGGGCAACGAGATCATTTCTTCTTTTTTTTTTATGATCTCTTATGGATATGTCAGTCCAATGCTAATTACGACATTGATACTACTTTGTTATGGTATAAATATCAAAACACCTATAAAAAGGGGAAAACCCAAAATATCTAAGTTTTAATGACATTTAAAGGAAAACCTATCATATTTATAATCAGATTCAGCAGATATCAGAATTCCATATCCCTCTTTTTGATATACAGTCGGTTTAAAAATTGAAAAAATATTTTTTCATGCCAACATGTTTGTGATATTTGACCAGTTATTAACACTGTATATAAAGTTACATGAATTGTTGACATAAAAGGTTTATCATGGTTTGTTGTCATTTCATGTTGATGTTATTTCTAGATAAATATTTTTCTGTAATTCTGACTTGACTAGCAGTCAGCTCACTTAATTTAGAAAGCGATAAATACCTAAATTTACACCAAATTTCTTATTTATTTGGTTTCTCAATTCATCCATTTGTGTTATTTTGCTTCTGTCCGGTTGCCACATCATTTTGGGTTGATTTTCCCTTTCCGCATCCATTTTAAAGTATAATACCTCTCACTGAGTTTACAGAAAACTTTCCCGCATTGAGAAGACGGTGACCTAACAACACCTACCGGATATTACTACCCTATATATGTAGTACGCATTGTTTTAGTTTTTTACCCATTATGAAAACTATATTAGGCTGATAAGGGTTATTTTAGTCACTGTAATTTTACATATATCTTTGCAAATTGTTATTAAGATATAAATCCAATCCACACTTAGAACTTGATCTTTAGCGTAGTAATATTGACGATGTAATTTGATTGGTCGAGACCGGATCTGCTGACCACACCTCCAACACGCCATGCAAAGCCTACCCACGTGTCATGAACCATAACATGTAAACAAACCAACAGCTTGGCGCACAGGTATTGATATCCGATATTCAAAGTTAACAGGCCATTTAAAAGTCAAGCAAACATGATTTTTTTTCATATAAATAAGTCGTATAACGATGTGGACGAAAACAACCAAACGACAAAATAGGCCGTCGCATAGGAATATCGACATATTATGCAAGAACTTGCTTTTGCGACGACGTCACATTTATTTATATATTGCACAAATAACGTAATCGTGTTTAAGACGTCTCTATTTTTTTGCCGTCGTAATCTATGTATAAAACCTAACGTCACGCAGCGTAATTATTGACCTAGTGCGTGACGTCATGCGACCTATTGACCGATTTATTTCCAGTCACTTCCTGTTTTGCTTTGGAGTTATTTCCCTTGAGTAGAATATTTTTACCAGGCTTCGGTATTGGTCCGAGTAGTCATTGGTCCAAGTGGTCATGCATTCAGAACTGGATATTCGAGTAGAAGAAAGCCAAAGTAGAACCGATAATATTGTTATCTAATCCAAAGTTACCGAGTTCTTTAGTTCTAGTTTTAATCAACTTGTTACCATAGAACGACCTTTGCTCAAGTTATTATAGACTAATAACACGTACATATAGCTGTTATAGATACAGAATACCATACAATTTCAGAAAAATATGACAGCTAAGCTCACAAAAAATACAGTGAGCAGTGAAACGAGAGGAACAGTAGATATGGGTGAAGTAGAGCCACTAGAGGTAGAAAGAGATGTTTATTCTCTACCAATGTTAAAAGATTTCTCTCCAGGTCCTTTAGATCGTTACAGATCTTGTGCATCTTTCAACTGGAAACAGATGATGTTATTTATGGACGGAGAAGATATTGTCACATACAAGGTAATAGGAGCTTGCACTTTCGACCACTTACATTACATGTACTACGTACTACTTCCTTAGTTTGTCAGTGAGCCACGGTGGCTAACAGGGTAAGATGCTGGCTCGTTAGCCTTGAGGTCGTGGGTTCACAAAGATTTTCTGGCATGGTTTCACCTTGTCAGTGGTGACAAATATAGCTGTCTATTCATTCGGATGGGATGGAAATCTGACGTACACATTGGAGTGCATGTAAAAATCCCTTGGCAGTTGGAATTCGATATAAGAGTAAGCCGCAGTGTGGATGTCCGGACAAATTTACCCCATGGCATACTGTATGGCATAAGCCCGTCTTCATTAACCCAGTCGGAGCAGAAAAGTAGGGTGTTAAACCCCATTTTCATTTTATTTGAAATTTTCAGGAGATATTTAGTGTAACAATTGTCCACACTTAAAACAATATCATAATTAAATTTTAACATATTATGTACACGATATATTTATTATTTTACAGAACAAAGTTTGAGCCATTATTTGTATTATTTTGCAGACCAAGGTTTGGAAGACTCTAGAGAATGATCCATTATTTTCAAAAGGAGAAGTTGAGACACCGAATCTGGAGAAAGTCAGAGAAATTGCTTTTATACGATGTAAACGACTGGCTGAATATAATTTTCTGGATGATGATGAACTTTTCTCCAACCCGTTAAAACATAAAATCTACTTTAACTGTCTTGGTATGTTTGATTGGAGTATGGCTGCTAAAAATATGTTAAACTTTGAGGTACGTGGGGTTAAATTAATTAATGTCCTATCTTTGTGCACCAACTGAGCTAACAAAGATGGCCATACGCCTAGCATTGTGCTATGAGGTCAATTGTGCCTGGATGTTGGCATTTTTGCCTACTCTTTTGCGAATTTTCTTCCGAGAATGGTTCTTTTATCTGCATGAAAATGTGTACACAGGGCCTCCATTTTTGGGCTTGTACTGTGGCCTTTACCAGGATATACGTCTTGCAGCACTGACAAGGGGAAACCATGCAGGAAAATCCAAAGACCAAAGACATTTTATCAGCCAAGACCGGGATTGAACCTACAACCTTCTGGTTAGTGAGACCCCTACGCACAAGCGAATTATTGAAATAGAATTAAACCATATGTTAGTCCCGGAATGCCCTAGTTTGTGTCGAGTGGAAGTTAAACCCCATTTCTCTCTCTCTCTCTCTCTCTGGTTAGTGAGCTAGCACCATAATTTGTGGGCCACTGTGACACCCATTATCAGTTGATCTTTGTTCATTGTTAGAGGATAGAAAGCTGATTTGCTTTGACAGAGAGAGAGAGAGAGAGAAATGGGCTATATCGTTCACTCGACACAAACTAGGTCATTTCCGGACTAACATGGTTTAATTTTAATTTCAATAATTCGCATGCGCGCGGGGATCTTTAGCAGTGGGAGGAAACCGGAGGACTGGAAGAAAACCCACAAGGTTGGACAGGCGACCCTACTCCTTGTCACGTACAACCAGGGATTCGAAACCACGCCAGTTGACTCAATGACAGGCCTTATAATACAGCACGCATGTGCTAACCATTCGGCCATCCAACCCCCTGATTTGCTTTGACTCTTTGAAGAAAAGAATTAGGGACTACCATTGTTCAGGTGTGGATAAATATTTTGTCTTATCTCATCTTGTCTTGTTAATCTATTTTAATATTTTTGTTGTATTTTGTTTAATTATACAGATGTTTGGAGGAACTGTAAGTAACATGGGATCTAAACGACATCATCATTTGGTAGAGGATAATAAAAATTTCCAGGTTTGTCTCTTAACATAGTCACATTTACTTGAGCTAGTTCAACTTGTTTACCTGTGCTGGTTCACCTTGTTTACCTGAGCTGGTTCACCTTTTTCTATATTCTATAAATGACTGTTACTTTTACATTTAAAACCCTTTTAGAAGCTTCTGTTCAAATGCTGCAACAAATGAAAGATATTGTTAGGGACGTTAATGGTGTATTGGAATGGCATTGACAGAAGTTTTGCCATGACAGCAGAGCTATGTCCTATGCTTATTTCCAACTCTAAGCAAATCTTTAATGTGTTGCCAATGAAAGACTCAGGACCCAGGGTTTTGGTTGTTCCATCTTAACAACTTGTCACTTTTAATTGCTAGACCCTTCGATTATGCACTATTGAGAAGAAGAATCTGGGCTGGACCTGCTTATTGAACCAATACCATACACACAGGGCCACTGTAGATCCCCAGAAGGTTTAGAAAATCAGAACTGTTGACACATCATTGCTAGACCCTTCGATTATGCAGCAAGGAGAAACCAGACTGGACCACTTGGCAAACCTCAGCAGATTTCAGTACCCTACAACTAGCCTCGGCTGTATGACAAAGTCTGCCATTGAAACTACTTTCAAGTTCCCGGATTACCAACGGCTTTGCCCATGACGACGCCTTTGAACAATGTTTTATCATACAAAGATTTCAAAGTCTGAAGCTGTTTATCTCTCAAGTTTATCCGATTTTCTTTAGACAATGATAAGTTTGCACTGAAAATTCTACACACTCTTCGAACGACGCAATTGTGAAAACTTCTTTCTAAAAGCGTCAAGTTTTCCTAATAAGTAAACTGGTGTCGCATCGCAATTGTATAGGCGTAGGTACATATCACTTACCGTCACACAGATGAGGCTAGATGTAGGGTACCAGAATCTGCCGAGGTTTGCCAAGTGGAACCAACACTATACTCACTGAGCCATTCGGCCATCCAACCGTGGATCCCCAGCAGGTTTAGAAAATCAGAACTGTTCACACATCATTATAATGATTTGTTCTTGGTTTTTTTTGGTAGAATTTTGGTTGTTTTGCCCTGACAGAATTAAGTCATGGTAGTAATACAAAGGCAATGAGAACAATGGCTACATTTGACCCTAAAACAAAGGTAAGTAATAATCAAAAAACATCGGGAAAATGCACAAGTTTGTATTTATGACCTACTTTTGACATGGGAGTAATTATCCTTGGGTCATTTACATTTTTTGTCAATGCACAAGTTTGTTTAAGTTATAATTCTTTTCTTCAAATAGTCAGATTAAACCAACTTTCTATCCTCCAACAACGAATAAAGACCATTCTTGTCGATGCATGAGTTTGAGAATTTTTTTTTTTAAACTGGGAGTGATACATTATAGAAGATAAGATAAAGAGCTGGCAGTTCTGACTATAATAGTTAAAGACTAGATACTGTAAAGGCAATTTGCTGAACATTTCATTAAAAATGATCCATTATGAACCGAGAATTAAGCGATTGAAATTTCGGCCTAGCCTCGATCATCATTACTAAAGTCTGTACAATAAAGAACATAGTCCCGATCATCCATTTCATGATTAAATTATTAATGGAAGTCGAGCAGCAAATGGGATCATAATCTGCTAAATATTGCAGGCTAGCGATGCCATCAAGAGTTTATTATGGTCTGGATAAGTTAATTAATGTCTAATTAATAATTTAGATAACATTTCAGGCCTAAAGAAAGTCCTGCAATTGGCTCTTGCATAATGTATGTTTAATGAATGTGTTGATTTGTTCGAGAGAAATTGTACAATGATTGGTTTGTATAATTTCAGGAATTTGTTTTAAGTACACCAGATTTCGAAGCCACCAAGATCTGGGTGGGTAATTTAGGTAAAACAGCAACTCATGCTATAGTGTATGCTCAGTTATATACCCCAGATGGCTGGTGTCAGGGATTACATCCTTTTAGTGTACCTGTACGGGATCCAAGAACATTAAACGCCTACCCTGGTGTACTTGTTGGTGATATGGGTGAAAAAATTGGTTTACAAGGCATAGATAATGGGTAAATATTAGTTTATATTTCAACATCATTTAATCTTTCTGTCTCTTTCAAGTCCAATCCATAGTTCATTCAAAACATCTCTACCTCAGTTTCTACTCATATCAACAAATTTTTATTTCATCTCCTTTAAATCTTGGTTGTACAAATCTCAATCTTATCTCTTCCAATTGCGTCTCTCTCAGATTTCTATTTAATTTATTATACATCTTTTTCTCATTTTTTCTGAATCTTTACCAGTTCTCCTCCAAATCTCATCTTGGGGTGTTTGAGAAATGAAATAGAATTTAACGTCCTACTGTTCTGCTCCGACTGGGCTAATGAATACGGGCATATGTCATACAGTCGGCGATGAGGAAAATTGTGCCCGTACAGCGGCACTACAGTCTATTCTTATTTCGAATTCCAATTTTACATGCATGCCAATGTGTACACAGGACTTTGGTTTCTCGTACCATCAGAATGACTATACATTGTCCCTTATCAGGCCCTCCATCTTACTCCACTGACAAACCACAAGAGGGAACCACGTCGGAAAATCCTGATGAACTTTCTCTACACACACCGAGATCGAAACATGGGACCTCCACTCCAGCAAACCAATCTCTTACTCACTGAGCTGACACGGCTCCGGGTATTTGAGAAATAAGCCTCTAAAGTTTAACATCCCTGGTTCAAATATAGGCGTTGACCACAAAAAATAACTTCACTTGTCAGTGGTGGGGCCTAAAGGCTGATAAGCCACTGTGGCTCCTCAGGGCTCAGGATCTCCCCTAGCTGCCTTCCCAATCTTCACTACCTTGTCCCTAAATTTCTTAGAATGCAAGATATACTCACTATATGTGTAAATGTGTTTTAATATTCAGGTTTTTAGCGTTTAATGGATATCGAATACCAAAAGAATGTTTACTTGATAAATTTGGTGATGTTTCAGATGAAGGAAAATATGTCACCCCTTATAAGGTAAAATTATTAATTATATGATTTCTGCACCAATTGCAGTTTTTATAAATGACTGACTTTACCTGTAGACCAGATATAACTATTACATAATGCATCTTTATTGGGTTTTTAGTGTCTTTAAATGCTCCCATTTCCTCCCACAGACAAAAGACACCTGAGTGCAAGCGAATTATTGAAACAAAATTAGTTCCAAAAAACCCAAGTTTGTGTTGAGTGGCTGTTAAATTCCATTTCTCTCTCTCATATGTTTCGAGACCTTGCAACCTATCTTTGTGAAATGACTCACAGTAGCTGGAGGCTACTTAATTAGCTACTGTGGACATATGTTTTGTTGCCTGGGCGACCTTTGGATGTAGACTATGGTCGCGACTACAGTCTGAACCAGCACCCAAACGCAAATGGCCCTAGCCATTGACTATTCAATATGGTGGCGAAAATGTCAGTTGTTCCGCCTGCTATATTTTCTCCTATTTACTCATGTATTTTTAAAAACTGGTTAATTTTCCATACTGCGATGTGAAAGCAAGCTTAAAATAGGTTACAAATAGGATTAGTCAATATCAGAATATTTTTCATTGGAATTATGTCACCCAACCAAATAATTTCCACGTACAGTCATTTGTTGTGTGCCTATATATATTCGAATAAGAAGATCCTAATCTGTCAAATTCATCAAAAAAGGCGAAAAAAAAATCATATTTAACATCTATACTACAACGCCCATTCACTAACTTTCAGGCGTTAACATGGGCCCTATAATACCGACCAAGGTGTAAATAACGCAACGGCAATCAGCAATTTTATTATATTTTTCAGAAAATCTTATCAAGTGTCAGTTTTGTCAGCCATCTTTGAACTATTCCGACCGTGCTTTATCGCATTGTACAGCTGGTCCGACCACTGGTTGAACTAAATGTCATTCGCATGCAGATGGTTCGACTATAGTACGAAAATCCGTTCAACCGAAGGTCGCCCAGGCAATTTATCTTTGTGACACGACTCACAATAACTGTAGGCCACATACAGGATGTTACAAGCTTGTATGTCTCAGTGTATTTTATTTTAGGATCCAAGTAAACGATTTGGAGCTGCCCTGGGTGCGTTATCTGGTGGACGTGTAGGTATAACTGGTATGGCTGTATGTAACCTGAAAATGGTTATAACTATCGCCATGCGTTACTCAGCTGTCAGACGACAATTCGGACCAACAGAAGAAGAAATTCCAGTTTTAGAATATCAACTTCAGGTGAAATATTTGACAATTTAGAGTTCTTTCTGTTTGGCAGAAAACTTTCTAATATATCACCTTTTTCAAATGAAATTGGATAAAGGGTTACCTGGAGAGTTAAATACCTGTAGATTGAAGATAAATTGATATTTAAATAGTTCCAATTGCATTTAGTAAGAAATTCCAGTTTTAGAATATCAGAAATGAAATGAAATGGGGTTTAACGTCCTACTGTTCTGCTCCTATACTGGGCTAATGAAGACGAGCATACGCCATACAGTGTGCTATGAGGGAAATTTTGCCCGGGCAGCGGCACTATCGCCTACTCTTATATCGAATTCCAACTGCCAAGGGATCTTTTACGTGCATTCCAATGTATACATGGGACCTCGGTTTTTCGTATCATCCGAAGGATTACACAGCTGTCCTTGTCAGGTCCTCCGTTCAGCACCACTGACAAGAGGAACCCACGTCCGAAAAAATCCAGATGAACCCTCTCGGCCAATGCAGGGATCGAACACCCGACCTCCAGGCTAATGAGCCAGCGTCTTAACCACCTAGCCACCGTGGCTCCCCTTTAGAATATCAACTTCAAGTGAAATATTTGACATAAAAATCTTGAATTTAGAGATTTTTATTTTGGTCGATAAACTTTCAAACTTTCTAATAATCACAGTTTTCATGTGAAATTGGATAAAGACCAACCTGGGGCCTGAAATACAGAAAGATTGCATTTAGTAATAGAGCTTGAATTATATTCTAAATATTGTTATGATGAGTGTTTGGTTAAAATTGTGAGTTATCTCACACACGCATGTTTAAGTACTACAGAAGTTTGAACCAACACTTAAGGCATAAACTTAAGTACCAGAGGACAGAGCCCCCTGTGAAAACTTGAAATTACATAATTTCCATACACAAACAGCCTAAGACCAACATGTCGCTCAGCATTTCAGAAATATCATAATTTGAGTTTTCAAGGAATAGACCCAATGGAACTATAATGTAATTAAATGATATTAATTTTTATTTCATAGCAATGGCGTCTGATACCGTACCTGGCTGCTGCGTATGCCCTGGAACATTTCTCTAATTCTTTCTTCATGGATTATGTTACGTTACGTATCGGACTAATGGCTGGGGATAAAAGTGAACGACAGGTTAGTTAGAGTGACAGAGGCTGACTCGATTTGCCACTTCTAGAAGCAGTAGACGCTCTTTCGGAAAACTCTTCCAGACATGCGAATCGAGTGAACAGCAGAAAAAAATATGGCTGATATGATTAGTTTATCTACGATATACGTCAATGTTATCTACAGTTGTTCGCAATTTTGTCTTCTGTCTCTTCTAGGTCTAGCTTGGAAGAGACGGAATGTCTTCAGTGGGGGGGGGGGCGGAGGTGTTAAAATCAAGTGTGCGGTAGAGATCTTCCGGTAGAGGAAGGAGACAAATCTAGTTGGCCCCATGGCGTTGATAATATAGGATTCAGACCATTTAAAAAAAAAAATTATATAGGATTCAGACCACTTCAAAAAACCATATAGGAATCAGACCACTTCAAAAAACTATATTATTATTACAATCCCGATCTTTAAATATAAACCCAGCAATAAAAGTGGCCTAAAATTGGTATCAGGTGTTCCATAAAGCCCTTCACAACTGAATCAAATAATAAAATGATGTTGTGTTCAAACCCTTTTATTTGAACAATGACGTGAAAACAAGTACATAAAGAAAATAAATATCAATATTTTAATTTACATGAATAAATTCCATCATTTTACTTTCTGAATAAAAAGCTTTTCCAGCATAAAACATAATCTAATAATTTCAAAGACTATTTCAACTTACAGTGATGTGTTATTTCTATCTATTTTTGGAAAGTACCACAGCACTCTCGAAGGCTATTTCAACTTGCAGTGATGTGTTATTTCTATCTATTGTTGGAAAGTTCCAATGTTTTTGTAGATGTTATTATTATTTTAATTTTGAGTTTTATGTTATTTTAGAGTGAACTAGGTCGTGAATTACATGCTTTATCATGTGCCAGTAAACCTCTAGCTAGTTGGATAGCACGAGATGCTATACAGGAATGTCGAGAAGCTTGTGGAGGTCATGGTTATTTTAAAGGTAATGATTCTATTTATATTAACACTAAATGGTATTGGTGATATATGTAATGATAATAATCTTATATATATATACAGTAAAGTGTGTAGGTGATATATGTAATGATGTATGTAATGATAGTGATCCTATTTATATTGGTGATGTATGTAATGATAATGATCCTATTTATATTGGAAATGAAATGAAATGGGGTTTAACGTCCTACTGTTCTGCTCCTATACTGGGCTAATGAAGACGGGCATACGCCATACAGTGTGCTATGAGGGAAATTTTGCCCGGGCAGCGGCACTATCGCCTACTCTTATATCGAATTCCAACTGCCAAGGGATCTTTTACGTGCATTCTAATGTATACATGGGACCTCGGTTTTTTCGTCTCATCCGAAGGACTAGACAGCTGTCCTTGTCAGGCCCTCCGTTCTGCACCACTGACAAGGGGAAACCACGTCGGAAAATCAGGATGAACTTTCTCGGCCAATATTTATATTGGTGATATATGTAATGATAATGATTCGTATTGGTGATGTATGTAATGATAATAATCCTATTTATTGGCAATATCTGTAATGATAATTACTCTATTTATATTTACAGTAAATCGTATTGGTGATATCCGTAATGATAATGAATTCCAACTGCCAAGGGATCTTTTACGTGCATTCTAATGTATACATGAGACCTCGGTTTTTTCGTCTCATCCGAAGGACTAGACAGCTGTCCTTGTCAGGCCCTCCGTTCTGCACCACTGACAAGGGGAAACCACGTCGGAAAATCAGGATGAACTTTCTCGGCCAATATTTATATTTGTGATATATGTAAGGATAATGATTCGTATTGGTGATGTATGTAATGATAATAATCCTATTTATTGGCAATATCTGTAATGATAATTACTCTATTTATATTTACAGTAAATCGTATTGGTGATATCCGTAATGATAATGACCCAAATTGTACGTATGAAGGAGATAATAATGTTATTTTACAACAGACTAGTAATTATTTATTGGGTATGGCTGAAACTGTTAGAAACAATAAAGGTATTTACATCTTTTTATCTACAATAGAATCTGTATGAGCAGCCACTCCTATTCAGCGACATCTCCTTGTAAGCGGTCACGATTAATTCCCCCCGTAAAATTTCTGTTGTTTTATCTCTTTATTCAACGGTCACTCCTCTAACGCAGCCAGCGGTCACTATTTTACTAATAAATTCAACAAAACATCGCCCATTCAACGGCCATTGTTGAATGATACCATCGACTTGTCGTTTTTTGTAACACCCCCGCTAATCCCGTGAGTAGTAATTAATTAACTGGACCCCCACTGATCAGGTAAAAAGAAATGTAAAAATAACAATCAACCCGGAATTATCTGTTAATTAATCTTTTGTTTTATTAAACGACTAACCTGATCATTGTTTTCACGCGTAACGACACATTATTTGATACTGATTGAATAAAATAAAAGTACCGAGTTTTGCCACGATCATCAAGTATCTCTTTTCCATTGCCGCATTGTTAAACAGACGTTTTAGCGCCTCCTATGATATTACATACAGAGTTACAACCCCTGTAAATAGGTGATAAAATCAGCGATGGCTTTTTGTTCATGTGCTTTTTTGATAAAATAAAATTAATTCATCGATTTTCTTCACAAAAATGGATAAATATTATCGAATGCATCACAGTGGTAGACAGTTTAGTATCGAATGTTGGTACAAAATGACAAATTTACAGAAGTTATGTCAGAGATTTGAGTAAAGAATTTTCGTTTGGCGCAAGATTCAGCGACGGTCAAATTTACCGATGCAATTATTGGTGTTCGCTTCGAATGCATCCAAGCGTAACATTTAATTTATGTCAGCACAAAAAGCACCGAGATTTATTAAAAGGCCACTCCCGTTAAGATTTGGGTAAAGAATTTTCGTTCGGCGCAAAATTCAGCGACGGTCAAATTCGCTTCCAATGCATCCAAGCGTAATATTTAATTTATGTCTGCATAAAAAGCACCGAGATTTTATTAAAAGGCCACTCCTGTTAAGCGGTCGGTTGTGAAAATTCCCTTGGGTGGCTGCTTAATGCATATTCTACTGTATAATGATTGATATACCAAGCCTCTGGAGATTTCCGCTACATATCTAAATATCCACAAGATATCCTGAAAACCTTCTCCATCCTTAAAATCTCCAAAACTCGTCTTTTGAATTCAAAATCTCAATAATATCTTCTGCAATTCTCTACAAGATTTCCAACTGATCTTCAACACTGTGAATCTCTGCACATCTAAATCCCTCTTCTCAGAATCTCAATGACATCTTCTACAATTCTCTACCAGAATTTCCAGCTGATCAGCATGTTTTGGTCTTGGTTCCTGTTCTTCCGCAGAATGATTTCTTTGAGTATTTTTTGTATTAAGCAGACTGCAAAAGTTTCAATATACAGTGGACTCTGTCACTTCCGACATCTGAATAGTATGGCATTCTGTGAAATTTGCGTACAATTAACACTGGGTAATCTGGTGTTCTATCAGTGGGTGTTAACCGACAAGCAACACCAATCAATTGTCTGTGAGCATAAAATATGTGTCGGTCTTTGTTGATTACCTTGATAATTTTATAATCTCTTGGTACAAGTATTCAATTGGCCGTACTACAATATCTAATATTTTAAAGCAAAAAGATGACACAACCTGGACAAACACAACCTGTCAATCAATTGGTCGGCCAATCGTAAGGCTTTGATGAGAAGTGCTATTTAGTCAACTTTAGATGATTATATATATTCAAAGTAAATTGTAATGCAATTGTTTGATATAATGTAATAAAATTTTTAATGTACGGAAAGCGTTATCATATTTTAAGTTTTTTGTATTCAAGGGTGCATTATAATAAAACTTCTGGTATTCGAAGGTACAATAATACTTCCGTATAGTTTAGGCAATTGAGTATTCCGACATGCTGTCTAATCCAGCGTATTGTATCAATCCCTTACGATGTCGGAATTGACCGAGTCTGTAGTAAAATTATTTAAGATTGTAATTCCATGCATTGTATATTTAGATAGCTGTAACACACCGTTAGGTAGCATTACATTCCTGGCTGACTTTCATGATATACTGGGTTCAAAGTTCAACTGTCGTACTGTAGAAGACTGCTGTAATCCACAAGGTATTTTATAGAATTATTGATAGAGTAAGCTAGTGTTCTTGGGATGTTCATGTAAAGGGTGGCGCGGGGGCGGGGGGGATAACCCTCATGATCTATTTGCTTGTCACATGATCTTACGGTTGTACACAATATTTTGAGAATATTAAGTAGAGAATTTAAGACAGATAAATCAATATATGGTGTAAAATTAGACATTAACGTGGGTTGTACAATAAATATGGTTTGTGAAAATGCATTGAAATAACGTTGACATCTTGTGATGATGTCATGATATGATGTCACTCAGAAAGTGGTCCAATCATGGTGACAAATTCAACATCATTTCGTTGGTGTGTCGAAAATCATAGAACAGTTTGTGACATGAGTTACTGTAGCATATTATTATTTAGGAAATCTGTTAATATGAATATTCATGACCTTTTGTATATATGAATAATAATGAGATGCATGTGTGTGTGTGGTCATCAGCGACAACATGTCATGGCGGACATGTGAAATCTATTTTTAATTCACTCTATTTAGTGTGTAAGTTATTGGAAGAAAATGTATATATATTGCTGTGTATTTTTGTAGTTGCGCTATCAGCGTATAGATGGTTAGTGTGTAAGTTATTGGTAGATAGCGCTGATAGACTTAAACAAGAAACACAGTCTGGTAAAGATTCCTTCACGGCCAGAAACGACAGTCAGGCTTATTATTGTCGATCATTATCACTAGCTTATATAGAGGTAAATATACACAGTATTCATCCTCAAAGAATGAGAAATGGGGTTTAACATCCACTCGATACAAACTAGGTCATTCGGGACTAACATATGGTTCAATTTTATTTCAACCCTTATTTCTTGAAGGGTCACGTGCTCGTGATATATGATTTTTTTTTCGTCATGATATGTGAATTTTTCCGTCTTGACATGTGAATTTTTTAGTGTTGATATATGATTTTTTTCATCTTGACATGTGAAAAATAATTTTGTTGAATTGTTTATAAAGCTTGGAAGGTGATGAAAAAATTGTTATATACTCGATTTTTTCTCTTTCCATGCAGAAAAACGGTCTTGCAATTAATTCCACTTTGTCTTGCTATAGATATGTTGCTTTGATTTAATAACTAAGTTTGATATTTAATCTCATTTCAGTGTAATGTATTAGAAAGATTTACTAAGTTACTGGAAGAAAAAGATGGTGAGCCCACACCAGTGGAATTAAAGACTGTATTATCCAGACTTTGTGCTTTATATGGTTTATGGAGCATGGAGAAACATTTAACAACATTTTATCAAGGTTTGTCTTGTCTGTTATAATAATCAGATAAATTTTACTTTTCTTAATTAATTTGACGGAACCATTGATTTTATTACAAATGCAGAGTCCAGGAACATAAATTTTCATGTTTACTAAAGAATTACTCCAATTCTGGCCCCAAGTTCACAAAGCATTCTCAGACTTAAGTTAAGAATTTACTCAAAATTATTAGCCCTTTATAAAACTTTCGTTGTTTTAATGTATCAAATACATCAATAAGAAACTATGTGCAAAGTTTTGTGTTTCTACATCAAAGATATTCCTTATAACCAGTGATTGAAAGTTGAGTAAATTCTTAAATTTAAGTCTGAGAATGCTTTGTGAACTCGGGGCTTGATCTAACGCTGTGTCTAAAATACAATAGCACTATATTTTGGACTGTGTTGATATACACTAGTCAAGCCTGGAGATAAATAGTTTATATGTTATGATATTTATAGGCTAATCTTTAAACAGATGTGATTGTAACTTAATCTTGAGTCAAAATAAGGCAACACAAATAAAATAAGTTGTTTCTCGGGCACCGCCCGCATGCAAAATTAGTTGCGCGTGCCGCCTATTTATTAGTCTTGATGAAAAATAAAAAATATGTAACGCCCGCCCGAACATCGATAAGCAAGTCATAAAAAGAATATGCCGCATGTATCTACATGCCCCATACGTGAATATCCATTCAAACGTATTAAACTGATTTAGATGCAAACGCTCATTTACGGGTCTTTTTTATTGATATCGAAAGAATCTCGATTTTTGTATCACGTGATTTTAATTACCTCCCCTTGTGAACTAGAATTTGATTCGTGTTGAACACCGAAAGTGATTGACAACAATGCAATGTATTTCAATCATTCGATCTTAATCGGCTCAATATTGCCGGCTTCAGTCGGTCCATGTTTGAAAAAATCCTACTTATAAAACAATGAATCGTAGAACAGGTTAATTATTATAACTTGTGGCTACGAATACGATACGATGATAGTCACCATACCTTAGTCAGAATCTGGGTCATTAGCACATTTAACGGTAGTTTTGATAATCCGGAAAATAATAATTGGATTACACATTTGATGGTTTTACTGACCAGTTGTTAGTTGAATTTAAATAGTCATTCGATATAAACCCCAGATAGAACACTGAATATCCTGAGAAACACAC